AACCCACCCCCACCTACGAGCCCACCTACCTGGCCACCATACCTGTCCACCTACCTGGCTACCCTGGGGGAATACCTGGATGGTTCACAAGGCCACATCTCAGGAACGCAGGGTGCTAGGCTGTGCTGTGCTGTGCTGCTGGGTTATGCGTTGAGGCAGATTACACGAGGACCCTTGTGTGTGTATGTGTGTGTGTGTGTGTGTGTGTGTGTGTGTGTGTGTCAAGTGCTCCGAGTGAGAAATAAACAAACGTAAAACAAAGCCAAATTATCTCAGTGAGAGAGATATAGTTTTTTAAGAAAGAGGGGGAGAGGTAGAGGGGGCAGATTCTCATTTCTCTCTCAAAAATTACCTTCTTATACACGCTCTCCAGCCTCCCCCAGCCCCTCCCCCCTCAACCCCTCTCCAACCCTCCCCCCCCCTCACCCCCTCCCAACCCCTCACCCCCTCCCAACCCCTCACACCCTCCAACCCCTCACACTTAACATCACCGCCCTCCAAGGTACAGCTAAAACAAAAGGTCACGCTAACCTAACCTAACCCAACACAACTGAACCTAACCTAACCCAACCTCTTCACAGCATCAGTATTAAGTTACGTTACTTAATCACCAGGTAAAGGAAAAAAATAGTGTGTTTAATCCTCGGGTAAATTTTTAAACATTGATTAAATGGCATTGATTAATATAGAGACATTTAGCGGAGACACTTAACGGAGACACTTAACGGAGACACTTAACGGAGACACTTAACGGAGACACTTAACGGAGACACTTAACGGAGACACTTAACGGAGACACTTAACGGAGACACTTAACGGAGACACTTAACGGAGACACTTAACGGAGACACTTAACGAAGACACTTAACGGAGACACTTACTTAATACCACTTAGAAGGGGGACTACCACAGCGATGGTGGATCTACAACATGGCGACTCTACTAACCTTTTACACTCTGGTTCAGCTCTACCAGTTTTTTGCCCCAAAGAACGAAACGCAAGCAAGTACAGATGAGTTTGGGTGAGATGTCCGACAGTTTCATCTGTAAAAAAACGGACGAAGAATAACCCGTCAGTTTATGTCCGATTCCTGCGTCAGTCTTTTTATTTTTCTTTCTTTTTTTGTAGAGAAGGGAGGGTGAAAGGAGGGGTGAAAGGAGGGGTGAAGGGAGGGGTGAAGGGAGGGGTGAAAGGAGATAAGAGGTGGGGGAAGGAAGTTATAGTTCGGAAATTGAAGAAATTTAGGAGGATGTAAGAGAGGGCGGGCTGACCTCCGAGCTAAGCTAATAGTGTGTTAGGGTTGTGTCATGGGTTAGTTATTGTCTGTCGGTACAGGCACTAGACCTCCTACCCTATCCCATATATGGGTGTTTTAAGGGCCTTATTTCATATTCCGCCGACCCTATTGGCGGATGCTGGTCTAGGGAGGTTGTCTATTGCCTGGCCGTATAGATCGGGGGTGGTAATGGACCTTTTGAGATTTAGTTACTTTTTGGGAACCATGTATGGTTGTTGTCGTTATCTGGTGGGAGTCTTTGAAGGAGTTCTTGCTCTGATCGTTATATCTTTTGCCAGGTTCTGCTGGCCAGGGTGTGCAACTGCTGGTTGATGGGTTTTATTCTCAGGTCTCTATGTATCTCGGCTGTGGTTCTGGTCTGATGTGGTGGGTGAAGAATGGGTGGTAGGGTGGGTGGCACGGTGGGTGGTACGGTGGGTGGTACGGTGGATGGGTGAAGGATGGGTGGCACGGTGGGTGGTACGGTGGATGGGCTATGGATGGGCTATGGATGGGTGGTAAGGTGGGTGGTACGATGGGCGGGTGGTGTAGGTAGATGGGTGGTAAGGCGGGTGGGTAAAAATAAATTTGTATTTTAGTATAGTTACCCACAAACAATGGTCCGTTTTCTATACTAAGTCAATAGAAAACGCTGTCCTCCCGTAAATACTCCGAGAAGAAAGTAACAAGTTGAAAAGATAAATAACGCCGGGAAAAGCCTAAACCTAAACAATTAATTTCTTAGACTACTCTTGACTCATTAAATATAACTTAATATAACCAAACTATGGGTAGATTAGGCTTAGGTAAGGTTAAAACAGCGTTAGAGGAGATAATCTTAAGATGAAATAATCTGGGGACGATAATCTTCAAGTAATCCGAAGGTATCAGAGAATTTAATTGTTGAACACCAGCAAGTCACTTATCACGTCACTGTGTAAACGGAAGCACGTGGGGAGGCGAGGCGTCAGCTGTCTCTGGTTACACTCGGGAGTTAAACCCAAGTACATCCACAGAAATTCTTACAATAAATATTCCTCGTAACTAATATAAAATAACTTAAACGTAATTTATTGACAATAGTTTAAATACAGATATAACATTAAAATTACATTGAGACTCTACCTTAATTAGTCAGTTCGTTAAATAATAATTAACCCTTTCATTCTCTCTTTCTGCCCTATCATGGGACATAATATTCATAATAATAACAATGATGACAATGAGAATGATAACAATGACAACGATGATTGATAAATAGAAAGTTTTTAAAGTTTTTTTCTTTTGTCTTTGGCCAGTCATTATGATAAGACAGTATGAGAGAAGTGAACCTATGCATATACCACGACCATCACCATCACCCGAGGAGTGAAAGTTGAGGAGTCATCACCGTGGCCAGTACCAGACAGTGTTAAGGCCCTTCAGAACAACTATTTACACTTCTATCTTGACGCTTATTCTGCTTTTCCTTACTTTTATATTTTATTTTTGTATCTTGTATTTTGTGGTCACTATATTACATAATTATAAGCCTTTTGATGCCAATTTAGGTTGAGTTGTTATCTCTCACCTGTCACTCGCTTATGTCCAGTCTACCTGTCTATTTAACCATTTTATTTTTAGATGAATTAGATTTTTTCATCTCAATTCGTCACCACCGTGTTTAACTGAGAAGATTATGTGGGTGAAAGGAGTCTCTCTCTCTCTCTCTCTCTCTCTCTCTCTCTCTCTCTCTCTCTCTCTCTCTCTCTCTCTCTCTTTTTCCCTGGTTAAGTTAGTCATTCTCTCAACCTCTTCACCGCAACTCACAAAGTCCGTCATCCAAAAATTCACTTCTCATTTCAAATAAACTTTCATCTACTTTCACTCTTACAGACACGTGACGAAATAATAAGAATTAATTAGACATATCGTCCACCTAAAAGCTTTCAATTGTGGTAATGACTCAGAGTTCGCTAATTCTCTCTCTATTTTATTTGGATTCTTTTTAGGTTAGATGTGGTTAGGTTAGGTTAGGTTAGGTTAGGTTAGGTTAGGTTAGGTTAGGTTAGATGTGGTTAGGTTAGATGTGGTTAGGTTAGGTTAGGTTAGGTTAGGTGTGGTGGGGTAAGGTTTGGTTAGGTTAGGTTCGTTCTTGTTTGGTTTGGTTAGGTTATGTATTATTAGTCGGGTATTGATACTGATAAAGCAAGACTGTTTATTTCAAGTGACAGTTACCACTCAAATCACACACACAGTCACACAAACAAACACCACACACACACACGCACACAAACACCACACACACACACGCACACAAACACCACACACACACACAGTCACACTAACAAACACCACACACACACGCACACAAACAAACACCACACACACACACGCACACAAACACCACACACACACGCACACAAACAACACACACACACGCACACAAACACCACACACACACACGCACACAAACACCACACACACACACACGCACACAAACAAACACCACACACACACACGCACACAAACACCACACACACACACGCACACAAACACCACACACACACACGCACACAAACACCACACACACACACGCACAAACAAACACCACACACACACACGCACACAAACACCACACACACACACACGCACACAAACAAACACCACACACACACACGCACACAAACACCACACACACACACGCACACAAACACCACACACACACACGCACACAAACAAACACCACACACACACACGCACACAAACACCACACACACACACGCACACAAACACCACACACACACACGCACACAAACACCACACACACACACGCACACAAACACCACACACACACACGCACACAAACACCACACACACACACGCACAAACAAACACCACACACACACGCACACAACAAACACCACACACACACACGCACAAACAAACACCACACACACACACGCACACAAACACCACACACACACACACACACAAACCCAAAATAATAAGCAATTCAATATCTGGCTAATCAAATATTCATAATGACATAAGTTGTTTATTTTTCTTAAGCAAATATTCGTGTGTTTTACTTATGAAGACTGTGAGAAAAAAATAATTAGGTAGTTCTGGACAAGGTTTTTTATTTATTTATTTTTTCATTGGTGTTTTGTAATATTCTTAGTTGAGCTTTGTGTTTTAATGAAGCTGACTTTCTGATTTCACAAATGAGGAATAAAAATGTTTGGTTATTATTGGATTGACTTATTATCACACTGAAGACTTAATACATTGTCAAGGGGAGAAGCCTGAAAACCTATAATACTCCATCTGTCACTTACTAGGCTATACTGAGTGCATGGAATCCTATAGCTTTACTCAGACAAATTAGATAGTCACTCAACTTCCTGACAACACCAATAAATAGAATAATAAGGTATTTTAATATGCCATTCTAAACATATTCATAGTTTACCGTTAAACCCAAAAATAAACTTGTTAGTGAACACAGCCAAAATTGATTAATGTTAAAGAAAATTACAAACATCTATTTATAAGCATTACACTAACAATAAAATTATTAATAAATATACACAAAAACAGCTCTAGTATCAAAATAATACATATTTTTTATTTTTTTTATATATAAATAAACTTGCATGACTATAGAAATGAATAGATATCTATATCAATCTAAAGGGTTCTGTTCGTGGTACTTTTTGAGCATTCTCTCTGGCAGCAGTAACCCCCTCTAGCGGCTGATGAGTGAACTAGCCCCAGCTGATGAGGGACACCCTGGGGCCTCAAGATGTTTCCTCTCCGGCGAGCTATTAAACATGTCCCGGCCTTATGTAGAGGCTTTAAAACTTCCATTCCAAGACAAGGAGGAGGAACGTAAGTAATCCTACACGTGGCTTTCCTTAAGTATATATTGTAAGGGTTGAAAATATGAAATATATCCCCGTGAAATGTTTGGCCGAGAGACCACAGCCTTGTACCAGAGGAAATATTTATAAATTCCATATTTTAGGGACACAACATTATTCTAAGACAATCCACATAGTGTCAGAATTCTGGATTATAGCTTGTGTATCATATAATTAAGGCTGGACATGTTTTACTTGTTATTCCAAAGCAAACGATGTAATTAAACTAGCTCCTAAGTACAGGTCAGGTGGATTAGGTAGGTCAGGTTAGATTAGGTAGGTCAGGTAGATTAGGTAGGTCAGGTTAGATTAGGTAGGTCAGGTAGATTAGATAGGTCAGGTAGATTAGATAGGTCAGGTAGATTAGATAGGTCAGGTTAGATTAGGTAGGTCAGGTAGATTAGGTAGGTCAGGTAGATTAGGTAGGTCAGGTTAGCTTGGTTCATTTAATCTCCACTAAATCATACACTGTAGCGGTAGGTGATAGTGTGTATAAAAGCTCTTCAAGAAAAAATTGCAATTTCCTAAAACCGTCAAAATATTGGTTATGTCAAATAGAAAACAGATCATGTATTGAGAAAATTATTCCCTGATTAATAATAGTTTAAAAAGTGAATTAGTTTTGTAGAAGTGAATGTTAACCAAGGAATTAATTGAACAGAGATAGTGCAGGTATACAATGGTAAATAATAAGTTGATTTAATAAGAACACCATTACAAGTTTATTTCCATTGTCAGTATTAATTTTCCCATTGAATTATGAAATAGTAACCATTAAATTTTGTCGTAGTGTCTATAACCAAGTTGGAATGTACAGTAGCTAAAACAACTATCTGTGCAGGTGGGGGTCGATATGCTCCGAAATTTTATGTGTGGCCAGTGACAGCCCCTCATGCACCAAAATTTATCGTCCATGGTCTCATAATGTTTCCCACAAAGTATGCACAGATAGTTGTTTTAGCTACTGTACATATAGTCAACATTGTCTCTTCCTCTTGATCCCTATACTTACAAGACAATAGTTAATGACAAGACACTAGTTAATGAACGATGATGCTCTTACAGGTGGACTTACCGGACGTCTCCCGAGGCACCAGAGAAGGTGACACTATTGAAAGCAGAGGTTTTGGGAGGCTTCATGTGGTGGTGGATCCTCTATCATGTCTTTACTGAGCCAGAACATTTAACTGTAAGTAAATCTATCTCCTCTTCTCTTGTCTTCTCCTCTCTTCTCATTCTGTACAGATTTATATATGAAAATTAATATCTATTGTTTTTCTCAAGTCCATGTGTAGGTTTCAACTTAGGGACAGATTGTAATGATATAAATTCTTGTTTGTTCCCTGTGTTCTAAAGTTGATCACCAAATATGAATGTCACTTCATTTAGAATTTGTCGTGTTAGCATCTATTCATGTTTGGTAGAGGATATTGACAGTGCTGTAGTAGAATGCCTTGAAATACAGTAGGAAGTCGATATGCTTTGTTCTCTGACAGTACAGTATATTACACAGTTTTGAAGTCTGTCATATTTTAGTTGATTAATTAAGATAGATGCCTCCCATTCTATTAAATACTATACTATTTACAGGTTTCAATGCTTTTTTATTCTTGGATGTTACTTATCTTCATCTCTGGTCATTTGGCACAGTCTAAAGCATATTCTTAGCTTAGATAATTGGCTCTACCTGACTCACAATGTAACAGATAGATTTCAAATTTACTGGGGATTAAAATTATAGAGAAAAACAAATACCTGTACTTGGGAGTGAACGGTTATTAAAATTTTTACTCTTCCTGGTGAACCTGAACTAAGTGTGAGATACGCGTCAAATAGGTGTTGCAGTTCATTTGTTTATTGACGCTGGATCATCCTTTACAGAGTTTGGTGTTTAGATATTTACCTCATGTCTCTCGTAATATATTGTCTATGGATGCTTAAGCAGGGTAACTAAATGAATGGATGTACGGATATGTTATTTTGGTAGTTGATGATAATTTTTGTGTTTTTTATAATACAGATTTAAATTTTATTCATCTTTTTTTCAGGGTGAATTCCCCTTTCCCGACCCATCTAAGTGGACGAATAGTGAGCTTGGTATCCCAGCAGATGATGAAGACTGAAGGATATATACAAACATGAATTTTATTTAGGTTAGAAACTGTAAAACTGACTCATGTATACATAGATTGTTTATAAAGTAGTATTTACTAATGGGGAACTTTGAACAATGCAGCTGTAGATTTGATATATTGTAGTGATGAATGGTTGAAATAATGTTTCTTTGACCATTGTGTTTCTCTCTCTCTCTCCATACCACCTCAGGAGTAGACAGACATCCACCGTGTAACGTCCTGAAGAGGTTTTAAGGCCTACGACCAGATGTCATTTACAGAAATGTGAAAATGATTATTTATATAGTTTCTATCTTGTTATATTCATCCAATGGCTGTATGTCACTCAAGATTGTGCGAGTTTGTGTAAATACGTAAATAATTTCCTTAATTGAATGTGTTTCCATCTCTTCCTTGTGTAAATGGGTAATTAGTAGATGTACAGTAGTGTGATTTATTCTAGTTTATTAAAAGTGCAGATGTAGTTCATTCACTCCAGTTAGTTGTGGGACTAACAGATGGCCTTAAGCCTTAGGTTACATACCATACAGTAGACCATAAACAACTGGAGTGAAATTTATCAGTTAATATTATAGAACAATACATGAGAGTCCTGCTACCTGGGTGACATGATTAGTGCTGAAGCTAAATCAACTGTTAAAGAATCCAAAGTGGCTGGAAGGAATTTAAGGGAGATGTTTCTTTTAATTGTTGACTAGGGGATCCTGTCTCCATGTTAAAGAAAAGCTGTATGCAATCACTCGACCAGCTTGGAGTTTAGGGAGCTGTTTCTTGATTGTTGACGAGGAGATCTTATCTATGTGGGGGGAGAAGATTTAGACAGCCACTCAACCAGCATGAGAAATTAAAGAGGAAGACATATGACAAGTAGCCATGTTCAGTCTGCTTCACCGATCACCATTCGGCCACTGGAGTAATCATCTGTTATGGTGGTGGATCCTAGACAAATTTCACAAACTATTAACAGCAAGAAGGATCTCATTACTGTGAAATACTACTAAAAATCAGAACTAGCCAGCATAGCTTTGAAAATAGGCTGTAATATTGTAGGTACAAGTAGCTAGTAAGTTATTTCTTAAGTCAGATACAGTAGTATTTGTTATGTAGTTTAGTTTAGGTGAATGTTGTAACTAGTCTGTTGATTAGAAGTTCGTATTCCTGTTCTTCCTTTTATAAATTAAACACCTGATGAATGGTAATCCAAGCCACCTTCAGTTCATTAATTAACACCTGATGAATGGTAAGCCACAAGCCACCTTTAGTTCATTGACTATAGGGGAAAATTATGAAAGAAAGAAAACACAGAAATTGGGCGATTTTCTTTATTCATATTTACACAGAGGTAACAGATGGTAAGGGGGTTAGGGAAGTTCACGTCGGTGTTATAAGTCTAAGAAATTGGGTGCTTGTCGCCGTAGAATTACTGTCAGTCGGAATCCTTGTCCGTAAAGTCGTTAACAATTCCTCGTCCATAAATTAATTAACAATATTGTATTAAATAAAGTCAAAATCCTTTATGTATAATCCGACAAGTTTCTTCGTTATTTATAGTCATTGCGATAGTCAAAATCACCATTACATTAAAAGCAAGTCACTGTGTTAGCATTGTCGAAAATCTAAGTTAAAATTAAACACTGTAAAATAATATATATTGTCCATTCTTAATTTACCAGTCGGGCAAATGGCAACAGCTACATCACTGGCACTATCATACTGTACAAGCAAATCTATTATTCTTGTTAGATTCACTGTTAAGTCAAATGGCAATACTGTACCAAGATCTCTATTGGTGTCAAAACTCTACCATAAAGGTCTACATTGAATTATCTCGATACAGTACAAGTGTCGGCATTAAATGTCACTTGTACCATTTGTCAAGGTACATTATGTCCTGTTACTGTGATAGGTCTATACACTCATAATGTCGCCTCTTGAAGAAATTTTGTTTTAATATTTTTCAGTATTAAACTACAGTATATTAATAAATAACTTGATTAAAAAATTATGTAACTGTCGCTTGTATAAAGAGCAGTAAACAAGATGTTAAGTACAGTACTAAACAAAAGAGAATGAGTTTGGTTGGTCATCTTAAGTTGACCTGACTAATGCTATCACAAGCATCCACTGACAGACAAGATGTAGTGATTGGGGGAAATTTGTCTACCATGAAGTCATTGGATGTCACTATCATTGTTAACCAATCAGTGAGCAACTGTCATCCTTGGATCAGGGAGTGTGTTATGGTACACCTCTGGCTAAAGCTTAATATAATTACTTATACACTTATAAAATAAATAATAATAAATAACAAACTGAGGTACTTCCGCAGAGTTGGCAACATTGTGTAACCGGTATTTTTAAGGGAATAAAGGAGGGAAATGGTGGGAAACTTTCAACAGAACCAACCTGGTGGGGCCATATAAATAATTGTAGATGAAGAATGGTGTGTGAACTTGACTACTGCACAGTGTTGTCAGAAGGTTGAGACCCGAGAAGGCAGAACATGAAGGAGTGTGTTAATGATACTCCTGCTATCAGTCCTAGAGCTATAGCAGTGGAAGAGTTATGTAATTTTCTACACTTCTTGAACAGTGTTAAGTAGTACTGTACCAAAGTTGTGAAAATAAGGGCTAGTGTTTTTTCACTGATCCTGGTAGGGTGGCACTAGGAGAGCCCAACCCAACCTCGTCATTACTGCTTATTGCTGTCCTTCCAAGGAACAGTGAAAACATAAATGGTTATCTCAACAACCCCTTGTGGAATGGTAGCAAGTGTACACCGCCTACTCACACCACCCTACTGGAAAGGTGTATCAAAACAGTACACCCTATCAGAGCACAAGCAGTAGTAGAGGTAGCCTAACCTCACAACCCTCTGGAATATCAGCACCAGATGAGCTAACCAACTCCAACATCCCTGGAATGTCAGCACCAGATGAGCTAACCAACTCCAACATCCCTGGAATGTCAGCACCAGATGAGCTAACCAACTCCAACATCCCTGGAATGTCAGCACCAGATGAGCTAACCAACTCCAACATCCCTGGAATGTCAGCACCAGATGAGCTAATCCAACTCCAACATCCCTGGAATGTCAGCACCAGATGAGCTAACCAACTCCAACATCCCTGGAATGTCAGCACCAGATGAGCTAACCAACTCCAACATCCCTGGAATGTCAGCACCAGATGAGCTAACCAACTCCAACATCCCTGGAATGTCAGCACCAGATGAGCTAACCAACTCCAACATCCCTGGAATGTCAGCACCAGATGAGCTAACCAACTCCAACATCCCTGGAATGTCAGCACCAGATGAGCTAACCAACTCCAACATCCCTGGAATGTCAGCAGGAGTTTAATTAAGCACCACAAGTACTAGAGGAGAAGATGAAGACAGTCTGGTTGGTTCCAGTAGAGGAGAGTGACCCGGGTGAGGAGGTTGGTAACTGGGATGGTCTTATTGGACAGGAACAAGCCTAGTGAGGAGGTTGGTGAAGGAGATTGGGCACTTTGGGTAGATGGCGAAGCAGGAGCCATGGTGTTGACCGTAGTACTGAGCCGTGGTGTACTCGTCCACGCTGTTCTCCACCTCACTGTAAGACCCAGAGACCACCCTGGGAAACAGAACCATAGTCAAAATAAACAACTGTCTATGTACACTATACCTGCAGTGTCTGTGTATATTATATTCCCCCATTGTCTGTACAGTACAGTATACATACTATGTCAGTGTAAACTTGCGTGACAACTTTACTCAATTAATTACTATCTAATAATTAAATGACCATAGTTGCTACACCTGAACTGTGAGATGAAATGCAACCCGCCAAGGGAAAAGAATTGTTTTTGACGCAGTTAATGAGGATGTATCCACAGAATTTTTATGTACATCAACTCCGTTTCATTTCAAATACATGTAAGATAAATTTATTTATTCTTACAAGGAATTCAACTTCATGGGAGAGAAGGGAACAAATAGTATTATACAATATCAATGAAGTGAATATTCTTACTGAGTGAGGAGAGAGCACAACACATATGCTGCAATACTCACAAGAGGAGAAGGTTGACCACCTCTCCCAAGAGACCTTGTTGGAAGGGCATCTCGGCAACCTCGCAGATAGTCCTCAGGATGCAGGAGTGGCCATCGTAACCCAAGCTGCCGAGGTCAATGTAGGATATAGGAGAACTAAGGTCACCCGAGATGATCAGGAGTCATTCATATTGAACAGAAGAGGTCAAAATCATGGGTCAGTACAGAAGGAGAGCAACATGTAAGTGAGAACGACCTAGAGAGATATGAGACAGGAAAAGAAGAATCATAGAAAAAATATAAAGAGGAACTGAATACTCAATGAGACAAACTGTAAGATAGAGGAGGTTCAGTGAGACAAGAGAATGAGATAATCCAGTGAGAGAAAAACAAATACAGGCGGCACAATTCAGAGAAAACGGAAACGGAAATAATACAGGAGGTTGAGTGAGGGATCTGTGGTGATCTAACCTGTCGAGAAACTGCTCTGCTCCATGATAGAAGCCCATTCTGTTGGTGAGGCCACCACCCAGCTCTCTGCCGTAGTTGGCCGAGTTATTGGGCAGGTTAAACTTGTGTTGACTCGCTAACGCCAGTTTATCGGTGTCGCTCACGCCTACTACAGGAATCTGCAAGGTGACATCTACCTGTAAGGGGTGAGGAGTGGGGTTACTTACGTCGAGCAGTGGGTGTGCAAATAACAAAAATAATCCTATCAGACAGTCCCGCCTAATAAAAGTTCACGCACCGCAGTTGACATGATACTTGCTCGACCACAAACGGCAACAAAAGATCAGTCCTAGTGTTTCCTTAGTTCGTCCTGGAATTGTACAAGTATCAACTTGTCTTATGAGTCACTTTTAAGAAATATGTTCTCCTTTATTCCATGAATTTTGGTTAAATTCACAAATAAATACAGTACAACATACATATGCATCAATAAATGCATACCACTATCCATACGCAAACGGGAAGTCACGGTTTAACTGGTAAGTTTTTCACTAAGATTTGTTGCCAAGACGAAAGTGTAAAGATGACTTACACCAAGGACAGAGCCTGTAGGGAAGGCGACGAAGCGTCTCTTTCGGTACTTGGCCACCTTACTCTCCTCCGGGATGTTCTGCAGCCACTCAGGTTTGTCCAGCAAGTCGTCGTCTGACCTTACCATCACACTGTTTCTTGAGGGGTAGCTGGAGGCGATGGCCAGCACCACTATGTGCAGAACTACAGTTACCACCAACATAACCTGATACGTAAACTTGACCATGTTTCGTTTCTTAGCTTCACTGATGAACAACGCTGAGTATATCTGTATATCCGTACTTTGCATACACTGTCCACCAGAAGCGCTGCGGACGATCGGTTGGTGGTCACTGATGATGGCCACCGTATGCCACCCGTTCATATACTCGGTCATCTGCCACATTACTCTATTACCAGAAAATGACTTAATGAGCCGGAGACCTTCTCGTCCTGCAGTGACACACATTTAGCGTCGCCGTCGCCGGCTGCAAGATCTGGAGCAGGGTAGGAGCGGGCGAGCGAGAGTTGAAGGTAGCGTCTCCGGGAACACGGCAGCAACATTTGGCTCTGGACACGGTACAGCACTGTACTTGGTTATTCGGAGAAAGGTTTATTTAACCAAGTCATTAGAATTACTGGCGTACATCACTGCTTCACAGATAAACCTCAACAACTTTCTATAACTACTGTACATAGTCTGTAAGCGATGGCAGCACAGCCAATGTATAACGTTATAGTAGCTTATCATTAATCTTTTTTTTTGCCATTAACATTGATCAGTAAATGTTTAAAATCAATGTTATTTAATTTGTTAAAGTTACTATTATTTAGTTTAACCCTCGAGTGATAATATGTTGCTAATGACATGCCTGACGTTGTACACTCCTCCATACAAATGTTTGCCAATGACGCCAAGTTATTTCGGGAAATTAAGAACCAAGCGAACTGTGAAGAGCTGCAGAAGGACCTCTGTGGGCTCCAGGAATGGTCGAAGAAATGGCTGCTGAGATTCAATGTCACGAAGTGTAAGAGGATGCACCTGGGGCGTACCAACGGTAAGGAGGCGTATCATATGTCCCAACGGGATGAAGAAACTGCACTAGTTGAGACTGTGTGTGAGAAGGACCTAGGTGTGTATGTTGACAATGAGCTGAAGTTCTCGGGCCATTGTGAGAAGAAGGTAAATCAGGCAAATAAATTATTGGGTCTTATAAGAAGGTCGTTCAGATATCTAGACGGTCCGTCCTCGTAACGATCTTCAGGAGTGAAGTGCTTCCCCATCTGGAGTACTGTCATCCCATCTGGTCCCCGAGATATGCTAGGGACTGTCAGTTGGTTGAAAATGTTCAGAGGGCCACCAGACTGGTGCCTGCACTTCGGCACCTCAGCTACCCTGAGAGACTGGAGCGCCTGAACTTGCCTAGCTTATACTACAGACGGGCAAGGGGGGACCTAGTTGAGGTGTATAAGCATCTCAGGGGGCACTACTCAGTTGAGTGTCCTTACTTGGAGCTGGCGGACGCTCGCCCCACAAGGGGTCACAGCTCAAGATTGAAGAAGCCGCAAGTCCAGAAAACCGTGAGGGCAAACTTTTTCGGAGTGAGGGTTGTAAACTCTTGGAACAATCTACCAGTGAGTGTTGTGACGGCACCGAGTGTGAGCTCTTTCAAGACAAGACTTGACCAACACTGGAACGGGTTCAGGTACATTCAGGAGCCGGTGCATGCCCAGTATTTGCCAACAGTGCGTGACAGAGACGTGACCGATCGCCCGGGCGGCTAGCGAGCCGATCTTTTGGTGAAGAATATAAATGAAAAGAGACGTGACCGATCGCCCAAGCGGCTAACAAGCCGATCAGTGGCGAAGAGGATAAAAGTAAAAAAGTGGTGTACTGTAGTACAATAAAATACACCCTCCCCATGAGTTACGTTAGTACAACACTGACTTGTAGTGCTGTACTCAGTACTCTGTACTTGTTGAACTAGTGGGTTTTGTGTTATAATTATTTCCGGAATAGTGTTTTTGCTAACTTGAAATATGCACTAACAAATGGTAGCTACTTGGTAGCTACTAACATCAAATATTTCCAGGCATTATTTATATGATTGTATCCCTTCACACACACACACACACACACACACACACATATATATATATATATATATATATATATATATATATATATATATATATATATATATATATATATATATATATATATATATATACATATATATATAACTACAGTATACTGTAGTTTCGTGTTTACTCCTCGCTCTTCTCTTCCCCTAAGCTAAACCTGTGTAGCTCCTGTTTACTGCTGCACTGTACACACAACAGGTTTAGCATTACAGGATATACGCAGCATCTTGCTCTCTTTTTCAGATCACGTGAAGCTTAGCCCCTCAACTTATTCCACCTAAATATTGACCTCCCTAACGGTAACATCAGGGTGTTTAATCATCAGGTAAAATAAAGAGGTGGCTTGACTTAATGTGGTCCCATTTTAATTACAGATTTAATTCACATTTGTCAGTACCGCATCTAGGCTTTTGTAACTGATTCTGGCTGAAGTAACTTACATAACGAGAGAAACTGCGACGCGATGTTAGGTGAAGGTGTTCTCAAGTTCTTCAACCTCCTCACACTGTATACAACGACTATTTATTAGTGTGGCGTTTCTGCCTAATGATGTAGATTACAATCTCTTACACCATACTTAAGTGAGATATGGTAGGTCTCGACATGCTCACAACTCCGCCACGAATAATATTATTACTCCATTCCTATTGTGTGTTTATGGACGCCAAAGTAATCTACCACATAGTGAAGAATTGATTCCGCTCCCCAGTCCTAGTATCAAGTATGGAAACCCAACATTTACCAACAAGGAAGAAGTGAAAAGTAAAAACGACATTATCACTTACCCAAATGACAAAGAACGTCAACCCATAGTTTCTAGTTCTCCCAAAATAATTATATTTTTTAAAAGAGCAAAATTTCTTTCTGTCGTTTTACATCAGGGCGTCTTAAAAGCAGTATTGAACGCGTACTTTCCATCCTCTTTATGTAGGAATAAAGTACGTATATACAAGTCGCATCCCTTATTGTAAAGATGAATGAAGGGGTCAAGATTAGTTTATCTAAAGGAACTGGTCAGATTATTCAGTGTATAATTTCCATCACTATCACCCATTATCTCGGTGATCACGGAAAAAATCTTTAACCGGAAGTTTATTTTGAACAGATAGTTGATAAATGAAGCTGTATAGACTTTACTGTATTTAACAACGTTGTCTACACACCTGGTCTCATCCAACACACAAACAGCGTCACATGTACCAGAGACCTACATTATCCTCATATTCTCACGGCTCACAAACTTTTGTAGAGCACACAATGTCGGAGATCTATAATAGCGTAACGGGATAATAACTAAATAACTACTAACTGTAAATCCTCGATGACAATGACAATCACCGGAAGCGTTCAGGTGAACCGAGCACGAGCACGATAGGCTGTAGTCAAGTCTGAGTTTCTTCAATGAATGAACTTTCCCTCAGTTATACCCGGAAGTTGAAGTTTTCACTGAGTTGTTCTGGCGTTGTGCGGCTAGGAATGTTCTCTGGAAATATACCAGGTTGTAGAAGCAGAAACATACTGTCAGCTTTAAGCATCAGCAGTCTGTACCCAGCTAACAAAACTGAGAAAATACCGTGACAACATTGTCTTAACACTGATAACGTTATATTCTTTACAACGTTGAGGCAAAATCACACAACTTGTGAGGCTTCACCTTTTGGATACCACTGAGGCGCTGCCCCTGGACTGATGGAAGCATGTGTGAACCCTACATCCTGGACACTCGAGGGGGCAATCCTCACCCCCATCTGTCTTGTGTATGAGAGGTAAGATAAGTTAAGCAGAGCACAGTTTGCCTCACCCGTCACCCCACCCCTTAAGTAAAACCCAAATCCATTGGCCACTGTACATAAGAATGGAGGAAACTGTACTACTAGTGTGGATTTTGATGGTCTGACTGTAACAGCTGAGCCTACAGTATATAGACTTATACTTTGGTAATTTTGATGATATGTACTATTTTTTACCTAATGAATTAAATCGTTTTACTATTAACGCCAGGTGAGACTCGTGTTGCCAAGATAGGCGTCACCTGTGACTCAAGCCTAGAAACCTATCTGTTGCTGCACAAAAATGTGGGATAGTGGGTTGTCATGCTACTGATTCCGCTGATGAAGACAATTGTACGTCTAGTTGAGATGGGAAGCTTAGAAAGTCGACATTCCAATCTTACATGCCCAGTACCTGCCAACAGTGTGTCACAAGAATGTTTACAAGACCAGCTGCCACAGTACCAGCAGATCTACAGTTAATCTCAATGTTGACTCTATGTTTCTTATGTTTCAGTGTTGAAAGCTTTTGTCAATCGCTCCCAGATTCCACCATATGTAACTTATCATCTCTGTTCATTGTATATTTTCAGCCTTCGGGCTGCCATATTATCTTAATAAATCGTTAATTATTATTATTATTGTTAACAGAGAGCCGGTACATGACTAATACTTGCCAACAGTACGTGACAGAGACGTGACCGATCGCCCAAGCGGCCTTATGTAGCTGTGATTATTGTCATCATTTGAAGAATGCCATGTAGAGATCATAACCAACAAAAGACGACACGACAGTACCGTACCTAGTGAGACGTTTCCCGAATGGTCATTTAAGTTTAGTGCTAGTCACCGCTCACTGGTGACTTGGAATAATAATCTACCTAATTGGCCCTTACTTTGTTAATATATGGGAATAGACTAGGGCTCTCACGAAACCTGAAAAAAAAAAAATAATATATATATATATATATATATATATATATATATATATATATATATATATATATATATATATATATATATATATATATATATATATATATATATATATATATATATATATAAAAGTAATGTAACTACTCGCTACACTATGTACTACAAAACCAATGTGATTTATGTATGATTGTCTTGCTTAATACGTATTCCTGAGTGCATGTATAATAGAAGCACAGCAATATTAGAGTACCTGGTTGAGCCGTAAAAGAAAATGGACCCAAACAGCTGCTGAGGTGATATTTGTTTTGATCGGCGCGGCGAGGGAGGTAAGTGTTGGCGTGTCCATGGACGTGAGTATTACCATCCATCACCGCTGAATTCCTGCGGTGCGGAGTTACCCGTGTCTTGTGATAGGAATTATGTCTAGAAGTAACTGAGTTATTTAAATAACTTTGCGCTGATGAGTGACAACGAAGAGAGCGAAGAGGCTGCATGTGAGATGGGTAGCGAGGACATAGAGGAGCCGGAGAGACCCCTGGTGTGGACGTCTGGTTGGGACGACGAGAGCAACGACGTGGAGGCCGACCCTGACCCCCATGGTGCGTCCTGCCCTCATGAGTACCTTGGCCTTCCACGTGCTGCCTTATGAGTTATCCATTTTTTGTAGCCCACTTCTCGTCACCAGCATGTTGGTCACAGTTGTAGTGTGAGCTGTATCACTTACACCCATATTTTAGAACACAGGTTCCGTGGAGAGTCCATCACCAGCCACAATTGAGTTTTCGAGCGCTTCTTATCTTTGTTAAAACTCAAGTTTAGGCATAACTTAGCTGCCCATAATTAAAATATTTTCATTACATGATTTACAATCTATGGTTTGCCAGAGATGTTTTTCACATGGAAAAAAATAAGATAATTGGTAAAAGTACCTTTATGGTAAAAAGTTGGTCCTTCAAATATGAAATTAGTTTGAGATGGCCAGATGGTTCTCAGTTTGTTTACTGAAATTGTGATATTTTTGCAAGTTATTGGAGGGTTCTTACACTTTTGCTTTGTCCAGCTTAATGAAAGACACAGCTGAGTGCCTTACTTGTCAATCCTCCTAGTTAATGAAGAGGAGTAAGGGACACTCTGAAACAGGAGCACGTGTTAACCAGCCACTTTAGAAATTTTTGTATTGAAGTTAATGTCTTTCTTGTCTCAAAAATATCCCCCCAACGTGATAAGGATTTGCCATTTTTATACCATAGTGTGAAATTGTCATGTAAACGATGAAAATTGCATCACCAAATTTACATAAATACTTAGAACAAAATTATAACAAATGTTTAAAATATTGAAAACATTTATCATATTTTTATTTTTTATCATGTGAAAACCATCAAAACTAGGAAAAATTTCACAGAACAATGAAATTCTTGTTTAAATGAACTGCAGCCGTATTGATGGACTATGTTGTTAGGTTAGGTTATGTTGCATTTGGTTTGGTTAGGTAAGGTAAGGTTAGCCTGAAAGAAACAATCTTAGTAACTATCATCGTACGGTCTGCCCAACACACATTAGGCTGCCGTACTAATATTACAGTGGTTTATGGTGGGTTTTATATAGGTTCCCATCCCAGTGTGAAATTTAGAGCATTGGGAACATTATTTATACTACTACTAATAATAAACAACAAAAATGCCTCAAAACCTCACTAGGAGGATGCCACTTTTTATATTTTATTTGGTTAATGCCAGACAATGTTATCTGGCACTGAGGGGAGTCTGTACACACTGGGGTTAAGATATTGAATCACCCATCATAATACTGTCCATCATTCTTCCTCTTGTCAGAATCATGTATAGCTGTAGATGACTGTGCTTGATGATGTAGTTAATATTATCATCAGTGTAAGTGTAAACAGTTGTCATTATAATCATAAGAATCAATTAAACAGCGATACGTTTAATCTCAAATGCCCCTTTTGTTGTGATCAGCTACTTGCCAGCAACACTTATTTAGATTCATTATAGATACACAAATATCATAACTCCTCAGACCATATATAAGTTTTAGCACAGTACTGTTTGTCAGTTTTCATTAAAAATATATTTATCTCTTGGATAATTCTGCCCTTTATTTTGGAAAGATGGCCTGATGAATTCTATCAACTCCCATGTGTAATCTTGACACATTTCATGCATCCTTTACTTAAGCTGCATGTCACCTTCAAGTGTTCTGCACCGTAAGGAAAAGTCTGATACCCATATTTTGTCACATAATTCTCCATGTCTTCTTCCAGTCCAAGAAAAGTTTTTGCAGGGAAATGAAATCCTGAAGGGGCAGTTGTTAATGTACAGTATTCTTGGGTTGTCCTTCAAGAGGGTTCGTTATGATTAGCTTAGTGGAAGGTGATGGTTATGTGGTGGTCAAGTAATTATTTGGTAGTCCTTGATATTTTCTTTAACAAGATTACAGGTTAAGAATTACTGTACATATCCCTCCAGTTCTACATCATAGATCTTAGTGATTTAGCGTACAATAAATTTTAATGGGCCGTCTTATTAGGAATTATCCCACGCTGATTTAATGCTTGTGTAGAATTACTATTAATAAATAGTATTTCTATATACGGTACAGTACATATGTTATTGATTTGTGTAGAAATGCTGAATGTTGTACAAACATCATGACAATTGTAAACATTTGATGATTTTTTTTTTTTTTGTAGCAACACCTGAACGTGAAATCCTGTGGGCGTGTGAGAATGGGAAACAGAGTCTTGTTGAGGAAATCTTGCAGCAACATCCAGAAGCAATAAGTGCAACAGACTCTGATGGATACACTCCCCTCCATCGGGCAGCGTACAGTGATTTCCCTGATATAATTAAGGTGAGTCGGGTGTGTAACGAGAAAGTGATGCAGTATTTACCATATACTGTGCAGTGGGCCATATCATGTTTACAGTTAATGTGTAAATAAAATTAAGGTTGATTGTTTATTTAAGAAGTAGCAGGTTGATGCCATTTATCATTAAGGAAGGGGAAATGGGTAGACGGGTAAGAGAAGGTACAGCAGATAAGTCACCTCTGGCCAGTGTATCACTAGAGGGCGTGTAACATATGTTCCTTGGGTAGTAATCCAGGTATCATTGTTGCCTCCTTCCTCCATTTTAAGAACTGGCTTTAAATACATACATGTATTGCCAAGGTAATGCAAGGCACAGCTGTTAAAGACGAATTGTTCAGGGACTGCATCAAATGGGGTCAACATTATTTGTTCCTTCATCCCTGTAGCACTCATCAGGCTGTGTCGGGGTGATTTAGCTGTTTGTATCTTGTTGGTCATAACTTATGATTTCACACTATATTTAACAAAAAAAAAATCTCCCTTTGAAATAAATGCTGAAAATTCTGGTGTATTCATATTTGATTATTTTTGCAGCTACTTCTGAGTGCTGGTGCATCAGTAAATGCAAAGACTGTGGATGGATGGAGCGCTCTGCACTCAGCTTGTCGTTGGAATCACTTTGACTGTGTTGTGATTTTGATTGATGGGGGAAGTGATGTAAATGGTGTTACCAACAGTGGGCAGACACCTCTCCATGTTGCTGCCATTAACCCTCAGGCACACCAGACGCTGCAGCTGCTGTTGATGAACTGCATGGTGAAGCCTCTCCTCACCAACAGTAACGGAGAGACGGCTAAAGACCTGGCAATGAGGAGCGGGCCTCACGGATACTTGTTCGAAGTCACTGACCCGGTGTTGAACGTTTGTGAAGACCACGAGTGAAGAAGCAGTTCCTGGGTGTTGATCTTATGTTTGGAACTTTTACCTGGAAAATTATTTACAGAGTAAAATGTTACACATCGCTTATTAGTTTAATTATATTTTTATATGAAGAGCAGTGCCTGTGATGACTGTAAGTTAAGGGCTGGTGCATGTTGAAGGAAGAAGTGTTTGTCTCAGTAGTTGCATCAACCTCTCAGTATTTTGAAATACTGTACAGTGTTGTGAAGAGAACAAGAAAACGTTAAAGAAATGGCCGTTCCCGTTGTCAGACACGGGTTGCGAATGCGGAAATTTTTCAATATTAAGAATCAAGATGTGGCTCAGTGGTTTCCTGGACACATGGCCAAGGGGTTGAACCAAATGCAGCGGAAACTAAAAAGTGTGGACTGTATAATAGAGGTCCACGATGCCCGGATTCCAGTGTCGGGACGAAACTCTTTGTTTGAAAAAAGATTAGGCTTGTCGTCTCTCAAGCCTCATATTCTTATTCTAAACAAAATTGATCTTGCTGACTTGAGACACAGAAACAAGATTGAGAGTTATTATGAGAGTCAAGGAGTGAAGAACATCATTTTCGCCAACTGCAAGAAGCCTGACAGCCGGGGCATAAAGAGTATAATTCCCACAGTTTCCGAGTTGGTACAAAATGCAGAACGCTTCAACCGATCCGAGGAGAAGGAGTATCAGATGATGGTCATTGGCATACCTAATGTTGGAAAGTCATCACTAATCAATGCCCTGAGAGCTAAACATACAAGGAAGAGTAAAGCAACACAAGTGGGTGGACTTCCTGGTATAACAAGAAGTGTTCTGGAGAGGATAAAGGTAAGTTTCTTGATGATTATAGCGCGTATTTAAGTTGGTGTTCCTTGTGGGGGCATCAAATTCAGTGCCTCCAAAACACAGGCATTGGTTATTAGTCAGTCAGAAACAAATTAATTCACCACGTCTCTGTCGTTCCTTTGGTAATGTTACGATGATAAAATCGGTTGGCCTAAACATTCTTAGTATGATCGTGTGGCTTTGGTTAAATAAAATCTTAGTGTTGTCCCTGTAGTGAAGGGGTTAGTGCTATATAAGAAATTATATGGAAGTTCAACTAGATTATGTTACCTTGTGTCTATGGCAGCCAAGTATGAGATAATATTGTTCACCTCTCCAGAATTATTCAACCAGCAGTATGTAAGCTATCACTAATGGCTGTTGGGATAGTTAAGGTTTGTTCATGGGATAATAATGTATAAGGAACATAATGCCTGAACGTTAATCAAAATGTAGAGCAGTCTGTTGGGTTTAACTATTCACTAATTGGTGTATTTCAACTAAAAAGCATACACTGGCTTTTTGGGAGAGTCATTTGAGGGATCTGACACTTGTGGAACTCACAGTGAAAAAGTTGCTGCATGGAATGGAAGATTTGAATTATCTTCGGCTACCTCCTCATAAGTTGTAATGTTAAAATTTTTCTCTTCCTGCAGGTATGTCATCACCCTAAAGTTTATTTGCTTGATACCCCCGGTGTGCTGTCTCCAAGGATCCCTGATGTAGAGACTGGCCTCAAGTTAGCACTGGTCGCCACCATCAAGGACCATCTAGTTGGGGAGGATATCATGGCTGATTATCTCTTATACAGGTGAGGTGATGTTGTGTACATGTAGAAAGAAGTCCTGTACATGGATATAGTGTAAATGACTTGAATCTGAAACTCTCTTAGTCATAACATTGTGCCTTTTGGCTTCCTTGCTGTAAGATCTTTGTCGTGTTGGCTTCCACACGTTAATATTTCTCGGTGTAAATATATGATTGTAGAACATGTACTTTGGCCAAACCAGCAGTGTCTTCTAAGAATTATTTGGCGAATATTTCAAATTTCACTTCAAAGTCTAGCTGTTTTATATACTTATAGGTAACATTGACCATTGTCAGTCGATACTCATCATGTAGCTAATGCTTTTAACTGCCTGGCTGACTTATTGATTATTTTACCACAGCTCTTACTACTTCGCTGTGATCCTTCTCTAGTTAGGACGGATCACTAATAAGAGTCGTGAACATCAGAGTAGAATGAAGATGAAAGTCCCTAAATTATTAGACTAACATTCTTCCATTGTATCCTTTTCAGGTTAAATTCCCAAGGAAATCATTCTTATGTCAGTTACCTCGGGATAGATGAACCAACAGACACCATTCAGCAACTTCTGGTATCAGCGGCAATTAAGTAAGTGTTGGTGGTGTTTTATGTAATTCATTCTTAGTTTTATGCAGGAATTTTAGAATAATTCATGAAGTTATATTTCACCCTGAAGTACCTTAGTATAGAAAAGTTTATTTATATTCTCTAAGGCAGTTTTTGTTCTTGTGTTGAATGAAGAGCATGTACTGTAAATCATTTTTTAAGTAAGAATTATTCCCATTTCTAGAAACAACTGGATGGTGAAGATTCGTGACCACAGAGGTATTCAAACTGTCCCAAATATCATGCTGTCTGCAACTAAGTTTATCAAAGGCTTTAGAACAGGACAATTTGGAACATTGTTGCTGGATGATACACCTCTTATGCTGGAGAAAGAACGCAATAATTAGGTAGATGATCTATGAACGTGTTGTAGGGTTCTTTTGATAGTTAAATAATGGCCAGTGTGAGTGGAAGTTAGCAGTAAGGACGGCTGCCATCGTTAGTGGAAGTTAGCTGTAAAGCCGGCTGTCATCATTAGTGGAAGTTTCGTGTTCATTTGCATTCCGTTTTTCTGCATGTGGAGGGAGAACGAGGAGTCCTTAGCCGCCAATTAAGGGTGTAATCGAAGACCAGAAGTTACATTTTTGAAAAGGATGACTGATGTAAAGTGAAGTTAAATGGCAATCTTGTGCAGATAGACTTGATGCATGTAATGAGTGAGATCTGAAGTAGCATAACGGGACGTGGCTTTCCATTTGGAGGCAACAACTGATGGTGAGCTTATTCTTTGGCACGTCTAAACTAATACTTGCTACAGTGCATTAACCCTTATATCATCCTTCTTTCATTCTCTCTAAATGCACAACTACATTTTTATTAACCCCTTGTGTATGGGACCCCCACTGAACTGAATAAAATTGTCTGCAGTTAGTCAAATAAAATATAAAGATTACTTTATCCCAGTAGTGAAGGGGTTAATAAGCTGTTGTTGTGGTATCTTTCAGTCATTTTCTCTTTGCTTTGATTCTGTAGAACTTTTTACAATAGATCAGTTTACATTTTTCCTTTTCCCTCGCTATCATCTTGAATTTAATTTTTTGCAGACACATATTCGGGTTCATCTTCTTATTTGTTTATGACTTTGCTAGTGAAAGTAGCTCACCTGATTCTAGTGGATGGAAGTTTTGTTCGAATGTAGTTACCTGTACTTTATCTTCCTTTTAAGTTTCTTTTTTTCTTTAGTGTCACATTATGGGAACAAATGTTAACAGAACCCGTATCCTCTCATGGCAAATATTCTCAACGAGCTTAAGCATTGTCCCATATAGTCACCCGTAACTTTCACCTCAAGCAGTAGGCCAGCTAGTCATTCCTTACTCGTGCAACTCTCAGGTTACTTTGCCCTGTAGAAGATACAAATCTCAGATCTCTTTGTGATGTGTCTTTTTATTACTACACTGGTTACCTTAGACACAGGTAACCTCCTGTAGCAGTCCTCACCTTAGTTTCTCAGCTTCTACAATTGCCAGTCTTTGCCCTTGCTTTAGAATGTCTTAAATTTCATAGCTTTCACTGAATTTTTCTAATATGGCCTCCTATAATTATGATATTGTCCAGACACCTCTTGTGAATCTTATCTCAACTCTTGGACTAGCTCTCCTCACCTCCCATAAGTCTCAGGTTATTTTCATCTTTAAAAAAATGGGAAATTTCTTCACTTTACAAGTCTTTACTTTTTTTTTAAGAGAGGTTTTGTCAACTTTTAATAGATGTACTGTACATAGGTTATCTCCTGCAAGAGAACTATCCACATCAGGTAGACAATATATTCCTTGTATGGAGTATTGTATTTCTTTTATAATATCATTGACATTAGAGCTAGTTGTGTACCCTTAAGTAGGTATGAGATAAATGCTTAGGATTTATTTGAGTTTAATATTTAATTAAATTTCATCTTATCAGTTGATAGTTTTATATAGCAAAAGACAGCCTGAGTTTAACTTTATTTAATTTAATGTAAACTTGTAAAAGCTGTACTTAAGACAGGGTCACAAGCAGTCCCAGAGAGAGACATGTGATAGAGTATTAATTTATCTTTTACACCACTTGTCATATTACTAGCTTTTGGGTGGCAGGACTTTCATTTTCCAGTGTTAGTACAGTACAGGAGGAAACCAGAGTACCCAGAGAAAACCTACTATGTTTGGTAGGGTCACACTGGATAAAACCCTTCTCACATCCGACCTAGGGATTGAATTTGCGACAGTGACGAGAGGTAAGCATGCTACCGCTTTACCACCAACATTCCTCATTAGCTCTGTACCTCTCTGTGATTTCTGTAAGTAAGACACTACTGTACTATATAAGCCTCAAGCTAAATACTGTAGTAGATATGAGGTGAACCTACAAATATACATTAAACCCTTGATTTCCGCAGTTTACAAGTTCACGATTTCATTATGCCGCAATGCACCGATTGAGACCATAATTTAAAACTCCTCACCGGCCATATTCATGTATTCCAGGTGAAGTTGGGAGTTATGAGCAAAAAACTTAATGCTGTACAGTCATATTCATTAACTTTGTGTCAGGGAGTACTGTATTGTATTTGGTAACTCTCCATTGTATTGATATGTGACCAAACCAAACCACCAAGATTATTACCCCAAAGCCTCATCTTCATGTCAGGAATACAACCCACACAGAAATCAAGGGTTTACTGTATTAGAATGATACATCAACCTCGTTTTAAAATACCGGTATCCAAAAATATGAAGTACAGTACTGTATAGGTACAATACTTTATTTTCACTACTGATCATTACAATATCTTGACACCTATTCCTAGGGGACCATTTTCAACTAATATGGAAAATGAGATACTTTAGGTTGTTCCTTTGTGCATGGTATTATAAACCTTTTGATTGTTTTGCAATATTTGTCAGTATCTGCTTACTGTAATGTGATTATTCAGAGTACAGTACATGCAAAGAAGTACAAATAACTGAGTGGAACTGATCCTTCTAACACTGTCTTTTCTTTTGTACAGTATTTACCTGACTCCATCCCATCTCACTTATCTAGCTTCCTAACCTTGACCAACTCCCACAAAAGGTACATGAAGTGTTTATTTGATGTTTTTACCCAAAGTATCTCAAGATGGAGCATAAATGTACTGAACTATACATATGTGGTTGTATCTGTGAGTAATCGTGGGCAGGAAGAGTGGTCATCTTTGTTTCTATTTTTCGGAACCTGATGTAATAATTTATCTTGAGCTAATTGTATTTCTCCTCTTCTAGTTTAACGATTTATATCTCATTGTGTTGAATGAGAGAAAAATGTCACCTTGTTTCAGGAAATATTGTTAAACATCGACGCTATTGATGTGTGTCAGTATATTATTGTTTTATAATGTAGGTTTTTTCCAAAGTTACCATCGTGTCTTTTCAGCTGATGATTAATAAATAGATAGATACTAGAGTGTACTAGAGTATTTTGATTACAGAAAAGTTGGCAGATTTGTATTTGGTTGCAGTATTTTCATGAAATTTACATACCCGAACGCATAGAAAATGCGAGTATTTGTCTTTACTGTACAGGTGTAGCTTTTGGTTTTGTAAGTATTTCAGTGAAAGTCTTCATTGTGAAGAAGGGCAGTGGCAAAAATGCTTAAGGAAGAATCTGCACTGCACCTCTCCGGATGTAGAGGAGCAAAGGTAGTAAGGATGGATATACTGTGGGGCTTATTAGGTATGTGGTCTTTTCTTTTGCTAAATTAAGGTTGGCAACTTACACATCTGAGAGTTGTATGATCTGAATTTTATTTGTAAATCTTATACTGTATATCATTTCCAACAGTACAGTAAATTACACTCAACAGGTTTCTCTCTCTCTCTGACAAGCCCTTTCCTGATACAGTTGTAATTTAAGTTGTGTGTTAGAAGGGAGAACTTGATCACAGTGCAAGCATTTTCATGGTGTGTTTAATCGTCTGTTTTGGAAGCTAAATCCTATCTCCTGATGTGATATGATGGAGTTGAAAATATATAGGAAATTGTTTGCTGTGTATGAATTGTGTATTTATGGTTTTTAGGGCTGTGAAATTTGGTGGTTTTACTGTAAGTAAATCTTGCATTGTGCTCTTTGATGTTTGATAATTCTTCTACAGTATCATAATTATCAGTGATCAGGTAGACATCCCTGTGACTTAGCATGTTAGTTAGCTGTTGCTCACTAGACAATACTGTACAGTAGTTCTTGTTGTCAAGAGATTGTGATCAAATTTACAAGTGTGACTGATGAAAAATTTTGCACGTTTATATTATCTCACTTATATCTTAGCCAAGAACAACCTGTAGTTTAAATTATAAACTGCATATTAGTGTGAACATATTACCTGTACCTGTTGGTAGAAGTTTGGATTAGCCTTGTAGACAGTGCCATAGGAAGGCAGTGCAACACTTGGTGCTGTAGATGAAAGCATTCAATCAAAAACCTGTTCATGGTTCAGTGCTCATTATGTAATGTACATGTACTGTAGTATAAAATATATAGCAATATTGTCATGCAGTATAACACTTTTACAAGTGTAGTAATTAGATATTAAAGTGAAGTGTGTGATAAGACAGAAGACTGGTATCTGTGATGTTGACCTTACCGTAAGGCTGACCATGTTAAATTTCTCTCATGTGTGTCCATCCTTTTTTCATTTTTCAGGTATTTGAATAGTGTACCTCAGTCACTGTATTGGCTTAAGTTCTTGGAGGTGAGGATAAAATAGCCATCAGCACTATTGTATATACCTCCTGATCACTGATCTGCAATAATGCATATACCTGTACTTTACAATTAGGTTTGTTGCCTCAATTTTGTTTCTTATGTCTTTGAGTTGTAATACGTAATAGTAATACAGTTAACCCTCACTTTACGCGGTCCCACATTCCGCGTTTCCACGTTTACGCGGTGCCCTGCCGGAACCCAGGATGCTCACATTCCGCGGTGCGTGTACCCCTTTACGCGGAGAGCGGCTGGCGAGCCGCGCCATTTTTGGATCCAAACCTCCCGCCATCCGCCATGTTGTGTAAGCTGCGCGAACATGGTGCGCACAAGGTCGCCCAGTCATCAAAACATTACCAGTTCTTCACCCGCCACCCACCACAGCCGGCCCAAGTCAGTGATAGTGATAATTATGGTGAGGATATGGACTTATATGGACTTTGGGGAGTTTGACAAAGAGGCCCTGCAAGCCTCTGTGGTGGATAGTGATACAATTGATACAAGTGACACAGGTGAGGGCCAATAATCTGCCCTCTGCCTCGGAACCAACCGCCCATCCCCGTGTGCCCAGCCATTTTTTCTACTAATGTAAGTGTTAAAAACCTAATATTATTGATATTTCTCTTAATTATTAATTGTGTGTGCATACCATCATAAAGTTAAGATAATATTTTTACTACAACATAGTTGTGTGTCGTCAAAAAGTGGAGTTTGGGGATCGGCCCGGACTCCATTTCAATTAATCCCATATGTTATGTTATTCACTTTACGCGGGACCCTCCGGATTACATTAACCGCGTAAAGTGAGGGTTAACTGTAATTACTCTTGGCTTACCATCTATTAAGTCTAGATTTAATTAATCACATCAACATCTGTGTTAGAAATGGTGTCCTTATCATTGATCAAGTTAAAGTTTATGTCTATGTCGTTGTGAAGGTAGTTAAGGCCAGCTGTGCAACGAGTCAGCATCAACTGTGATTAACGTGAATGCAACTGGTGTCGTGTGAGTCTTCAAGAGACAACAATATCCATCACTAATAGCTAAATATTTGCCAGTTTTTTGGAAGTACAGTAGTGGTTTATTAATATTTTGATTGTTACTTCTGGTGCTTTGTAAACATAATACAGTACAGTACTGTATCTATTTGAAGAAAGGTTAATATTAATGTGACCTTATTTTAAACAATTTCACAAGTAGGAAATATTTGCATCACTGCAATAATCAGTGCTGGTGTGATACTGTAACTCATTTTTGTCATTTCTCCTGATCTCATTCAAATAAATGTTTTCAAATGTTTTTGTCTTTGTTATAGTGCTATAAAATTCTCATCATGTGGATGCATCACGAACCCTCCACCAAGAAGTACACTTTTAGAGTACATTACATCATACCCTGCAGTTGGTGGAAGGATCAAAACACATGTTCTACAGACACCTACAGATGGTGAGTACCTTTATGAGTGACGTCACCCATCCCCACCACACCAGGTTCACTTGTGAAGGGTGTGGCTGGTCATCAATTTTGTTCAAAATCTCGGTATACTGTAGGTACTCTTGATTAAGGATCTCTTGTCCACACTTCAATATCTTGATTATTACTTGTCCAAATGACAATATGAAATTTTTATTTACTTTTACAATGCTAATTATTCACCACTTATTGGTTTTCAAGGTCACTTTTTGGTGCTTGTGTATTATTCTGGATGTACTCAAGTAGTTAGGCACATTAAATTTTAGTTCTGAGAGAAAAAGTATTTTTGGCCAAAAATCCTGTAAGGCATAAGACTTACAATTTTGGCCAAAAAATAGATTTTGTTCAAAATCTCAGTATAAGTACTCCTGAACATGCTGATTAAGACTCTGTTAACCAAAATTTGATATCTGCATTATTACTTATTCAAATGACTTGCAAAAATAATTAAAATTTTCCAAAACTCATTTGAACAAGTAATAATCCAGATATCAAATTTTGGTCAACAGAGCCTTAATCAGCATGTTCAGGAGTACTTATACTGAGATTTTGAACAAAATCTATTTTTTGGCCAAAATTGTAAGTCTTATGCCTTACAGGATTTTTGGCCAAAAAATAGATTTTGTTCAAAATCTCAGTACAGGTACTCCTGAACATGCTGATTAAGGCTCTGTTGACCAAAATTTGATATCTGAATTATTACTTGTTCAAATGAGTCTTGGAAAATTTCATTACTTTTGCAACGCCAATTACTCGCCACTTATGAGTTTTCAATGTCACTTTGGTGCTTGTGTGTTATTCTAGATGTATTTAAGTTGTTAGACACTTTAAATTTCAGTTCTGAGAGAAAGTACTTTGGGCCTAAAATTCTGCCATAATCTTGATCTCAGCCAAGGGGTGAAGGACAAGCTGTTGGGGAGACTTCCTATATTCACTATAGCAACAGGAGCTATGACATTGGACTCGGATTAGAATTAAAACAAAAAATTAATGGAATGTAGAACTTTTATTATTGTTTCTTCATTTCAAGCAACAGATCAGACTTTGAGAGAAAATCAACAAGTTACAAGGCACAAAACCTAGGACGACAGTTTCATGCGTACACCCCACCACACTCAACACGTGGTATAAAGCTAGCACCAATATGCTCAACTACTCCAACCTTACTCTTAACTACCATTACATCACTTTCCAGGAATTGTGGTCCAAATTGGGTAATAACAGGCCATAAAAAGAAACACACTAATACAATTAATAAAATCCTTATATGATGTCTACTTACAGTACATCAAAATACAAACACTTCTGTCACCTAAACCACAATACATCATATTTTCTGGTAACCCAAATTACAGTTTCTTAACACCATGACACAAAGTTAAAGTGAATACAGTATATAATTCTCCTAATGTCCAAATTATTTAACCAGAAGGAAATGTTTTATGGCTCTCGGAATAAATGATAAAAGCCTAAATTTGGAACAATAATGTTAATTTTTCAACATGGCTAAATGCTAACAAACACAATTATATTTGTGTGTGTGTTTGTGTGATTAGTACAGTACAGTACTTGTTCTCATACAAGATCAACAATAACTGGCTATTACACCATTATTTATATTTCAAGGTAGAGCATAGATCCTCTTAGTACATATGTGATGTGTGGTGGCATAGTGGTTATTGTTCTGGGTTGGCAGTCCATTGGTCCCATGTTTAAACTCTCAAGAAGGAGATAATGTGTGATCAATATCCTGTGTGAACCAATACTGTACTGTACTAGTGTCATAAACATGTCCCCACAGCTCCTGTTTCAATCTGTGTGAAATGAGATACCAGGTCAAAGTGGATGAGACTGTCCCACACAAACCTAGTTTGAACACTGTCAGGGTGCACTGTCCTATGTTCCTTCCCTAGCCCATCACCTTTGACTTGTTAACCCTTAAATTTGCATTAATGCCCTCCTAATCACATGCAGATGTATTCATATCAGTTCTTGGACAACTACAAGTATATTATGTATACATAAACACCTGGATTAACTATACAGGGTACTGATTCCAGATTTTGTACCAACTACAAAGGTTCTTGTCGGACACAAAAGATGTAAATGTTAGTGTGCTTGTAAATTAATATGATTTTATAACAAACATTTATTTTATTTCTACAAATGCTTTTCTGTTAATTCTTATGTAATGTACTGTTTTCTAACAATCAACACTAAAAAAAATAAAGTTAAAATTCTTGGAAGATCATATTAGATGGACTGAGCAAGTTACAATATTCAAAAGGTTACAAAATTTTGACATGTGTTTTAGTTAGTAAAAGATGGCCAAGAAGTATTTTAAAAAAGGCAAGATAATTCAGAGGAATCGGAAACAGTGGCCCTCTGGTTCAAAATACATGTTCAGTCTTATAAAAGGAACTACTGTCTTGGAGTATGTCCAGAGCAATGCTAAAACATGTTTTCCATTTCAAAATCTCCAAATAGTCTCTGAGGAACAATCAAATCCATTTTGGTCAAACCTTGCCCAATTAGCTTGGTATGAAAAAAGACTAAGATAACTGATAATTATCAGTAAAGTAAATGTTATACAGTGAACATGGGTCCCATGGGCCTGACAGATGGTTAAGGGCTGGGCAGATACAGCACACTAGATACTAAGCTTCAGTATACTGTATAAGTAGGCAGACTGACCAGCACTGCTTCTAATAGACTTTACTTTCACATTTGTAAAGTTAGGTTCCCAATTACAACTGAGGGAGCACCAGGCATGAACCCACAGCCCATAAGACATGAAGTGAGTGCTGTTTCCACTTGGCTGTCTTACTATGTAATACAGTACTATACACCTTTGTTGAACTGGACTGATTGGAGGTATGGATTTTGCAAATTTCTGAACTTTTAAGTACAGTACAGGCATTTGATTTCAACCATTTAATGAGCATTTATAGCTAGTGTTGAATCATTGTTCCAAAAAACATGAACAACAATTACAATAATATTACATTAAAACTTATACTAGCTAGCCAGCTTAAACCCCAAAGTGTAGCGAGTGAAGTGGATGTCAACACAGTTTAGCTGAATCAACACTGCTTGTATGCTCATGCACTCACTCTGGTCTTTTACCACTACCACTAGATAGAGGGAGCACAACACACACACAAGAGAAAAACAGATGGTACATTATCACTACACAGTCAATGTTGACCAACTGTCAACAATGGACTGGCTCAGGCATATAGCATCCCCCAGGGCAAAGCTGTAGCTCAAATGAATATGTGACATTTACATGTGGCAACCCACTACACCAGATCATCACTTGTTCTATTGCATCAGCAAATTCTACCAATTTCCAATTTTTCATAGAATACTACAGATAGAGTTCAGTTTATCCATATTTTCCAGTTTAGTAGAGCACAGTACAGTTCAACAAGGGTTTACCATATATATCTTCCATGGAGAATTATCTTGGGATACCTGACCAACTCCATTATAATGAACATACCTACATTCTACAAATTTTAGTCCACTTTTGACATTGAGCTTCCGGTGATCAAGAATTGATTATATCATAACAGGCAAAGAAATATCATGGTGAATTCCCTGACAACGTTAAAACTTTTACTTGAAAATGATTTTGATGATATTTTCATAAGTACATTACCTAAGGTACACGTCCAGTAACTAGATCAAGGAATATAATAAAGTTAATTACTCTCCACATCTTACATCGTCCAATTGTAGGCTTGTTTCCCCCAACATACTACACTTACATTTGCAACTGATAAAAACTGATCTAATCAACAACCATGATTTCTGACTTGTTTACCCACTGCCTGATATTGATGTTAAGTTTAAAACTGGTTCCACTGGTGTAATACATCTGCACAAGTGACGTGATTTTACTGTAATGTTTTTGTATATAAGTAAAGTATGAGGCTGTTTAGATTTTGTAAATCATTCTAGACAGTAACGTTCATACTATTCTAATAACGTAAATTTACCACTGAAATTTAAATAGAAAATTGGTTTTCATGGAATAATTGGGTAACTTGCCACAATTGTACAGCAGTGTTATGAAAAACATCAACTTCCGGGTGAAACAAGATAAAACTGGACAAGAATAACATACCACATACAGTACAGTACCAGTTTAACACAAGTACCTATCAGGGCATAATAATAGATGGTGTGAGATACACTAATTGTAAATAACAAAAAATAACTAATTCAGTCTGAATAAAAGAACATTTTCCTGCACAAAAAAAGGTCAGAACATGGCCTAATAATGGTACTGTACACTACTGTACTGTACTGTGGTGTACTGTACTGTACTGAATACTATAATGGCACAGTTAAAATAGCAGTGATTTTGATTAATTTTGAAATGTTGTACAGTACACAGTTAAAACAATGTATGGTAGCTATGTTCAAGTATTACATTGGAAATTGATAAAAAAAAACTTAAGATGGTGGCAGGACACTGAGAGTCAGGTAAACAATAGCCATAAAATGTTGACAATGAATGATAAGTTATTCTGAATCACTAGGTAAAATATTTTCAGTGCATAAACAACTTGCTTTAACCAAAAATAAATAAACAGAAATCTGCTATTTTAAAGATGAAAATACAATTTGACAAATACAATAACCTCACTGCCTTGAAAATATGTGCCAGATTTGATTAAAATATACCTGCAGCCAGTCTACCATTTTGAATGAGATCCAAAAAATATATCACGTGCATAATCTTCTTACCGTCCTTAATATACTGATACATCCCAACTTATGAAATATCTCTTCCTACTTAGTAATAATCCACGTAAACACAAAGTTCCAATGAACATATTGAAGTAAACATGGATGAAAAGTAATCCTTAGTAAGCCCTCCCCCCATTATAGGTAGGGTGCTGGATGATCGGTGAAACAGAGGTCAAGTTGTCATTGTCAGTCAGTCAGGTTAGGTGTGAGAGTTGAGATGCTCATATAACAAGATTCCTAAAAAAATATCAAGTTTCAGAAGCCAATATAGCTGTCCCATGCAGCCACAAGGCATCTGACATAATATGGCCCCACACTCGGTCCTTCTAACTTTACGGTTGCCGTCTTATAAAACTAAGTAAACAGCATATGTTTTATTCACAGCTTAAAGTCTGTGACTCATTGTCTACTGGAAATTAAAAATTGACTTAAGAGGAATGAAAGTTAAACAGTGTAGTACATTATGGTGTAGTACAGTACGTACTGTATAAAATAAACTGAATGGAGCTTACGTCTATGCGAGGTTTTCTCCTTCCACCTTCACTGTCTAACAACTATTATAATGTACATGCATGAATAAGGGGCTGTTATATAATATTAAACTCATTTTCTAATACTCATGCTCAGTAATGACCCATTAAGTATAATGAAAAAATTTTCAAGAAAGGAAGTGAATAAGTGCTGTTAATAGGAAGGCTTGGAGTACCTATGTGGTAATTATATGAGCAACATTATTGTATTGCTATAATGATAAATGAATAACTTGAGTAATACAGTATGCCAGTACAGGTAGATTGACATAATATACATGAAACATGTGCTTAATGTACAGGGTATATGATTTTTAAGAACATGAATCATGAAATGGATCAGTCTTTTAATCTCAAATGGTTAGTGACATTATCATACAACCAATGAGATTTTAAATATGATTCAACATTGGTGATCAGAATATACAATATTTATAAAACTTGGTAAAAATATATATGTGTGTGTGAGCGTGCATATATATATATATATATATACATACACTATACTATATATATTTATTTTTTTCCAATTTTCCACATTTTGTGGCTGGGCAGACTGCATACAGTGATACATAAAAGAAAGCTATTGAAAATGGATTTCACAATAACTTCAACATTACAACGTTTCTGCTAATTTCAATGAACCTAATCCTTGTTGACTTCTGTTTATGTAATATTCTTCTTCAGTCAAGAAGGGTTTGCTTCGGTCACCTTAATCAATATACAGTACAGTATGTCTACAATAATCTAATATATTTTCTATATTAAACAGCAAGGTGGCTCTCACCTCCTCCTACCTATCAACTATTTCATCCATATTACTGAACCTTTTGCCTTCCATATGGCACTGAATTACAGAAATTTTCATTGTTTATACACATTTGGATGGCTATTTCAAGTTGATGCAATTGCTTTTACTAGTAAAAGTTTAATTAGCTTACATAACCAGACAAATTAGCATTAATGTTTCAATATTTTGTGGTACTGAAATTGTGTAACCCCAAAAAGTTTGCAACTAATCCTCACAAACATATAACCCAATAAGTATGAAAATGAAACAATTATAGATAAATACAATTCCCTCCCTCAGTCTCAAGATAAAAGAAAAGCTGATAACCTCTGTCAGAAAGGGCAAGTACAGTACTACTTTCGTGTACATGAAATATATAATCCATGGACACATGAATGAATCTCATGCTCATTCTTTACATGCCCTATGAACAGACACTGGCCTTAACCATCTCCCAGTGAACCCATTTAATATTCTTCTAAGGTCTGCTGTCCTGAAGAGTTCTTTCTTCAAGCAGGCTGGCTCTCCCCCCCATTACACCATCCTACATTTGAACGTCACATTTACTTTACAATAAAACACTGCACCTATCCACATCAACTGCTTAGTTCAGTATTAACAATATTAATTATGGATCATGATTGTAAACATCTGTGACCTAAAGCCTTTGTCTACATGTGGTGTCTGAAGTCTGCACGTATAATAATGGACTTAATATTGGTGTGAGACTACAGGTACAGTATCCCTAAATCTTCTTCTAAATACAGTACACAGTTGATAATACATAATCCGCATGATCTAGTGTTCCTCACCAAAGATGACTGAGAACAACCATCATACCATCCAGACTGTATGTATACTACACATCCAGTATGTATGTACAGTAAAATGTTCCCCCAAATTAAGAGTTAATTCATAAAAGATTCTTATTCACCTGGTTATTATAATTATTTGGATATGAGATCTGGTGATTCATTATTTCATGACATGATAATAATAATGAAGATGACATTAAATATAAGACCTTGCCATACACTGGCCTGTTTTAAGTACAGTACTGTACTGTGGTTTAGGCAACTAACTCCTTATAAACTGGATCAAATATATCAAAAATTAGTTTACACCACACATTGTTTCAAAAATATATATTTTTTGTAATACAGTACAGTTTATCCATTACAAACAAGACTAGCATTAAACTTGGACACTTGAGGCACACTTATAAAATTTACCTTTAATACAAAACAAGCTCCTGAAAAACTCCGGCATAGATGCAAAATAGTTAATAGGAACAAAAATGAGACAATTTCCTCAGAAGTAAGAGATCTAAGTAAAGGAACACAGCCTCCCCTGACTACCCTCATCTGCAACTTGACCTACAGCCTGGACTACACAAGATGACGACAGTACTGTACTTGAAACACAAGTAAGAGGTCTGTGTGTAAGTACAGTATAAATATAGTATATCTACAGTATTAGAGAATAGAAATACACCGTACAGGTATATATATATATATATATATATATATATATATATATATATATATATATATATATATATATATATATATATATATATATATATATATATATATATATATATTATATATATATATATATATATATATATATATTGATGATGTGTTTTTCATCGTGCAAACGTAATAATATGGACAGTTTACTTTAGCATTCCATACACCGAGGAATAGTAATAATAAAAACAAAGCTGAAGTAGTACGTAAAATGGGCTGAGAAGTTCATCATCAACTACTGTTCATCAAATGCCAACCTTTCCTAACACGTCTGGGTTAGGGGTTCAGAAAACTACAATAATATGTAACAAATGAAAGGTATGGCAGCGTTACTGTATGCACAAACCATTAACCTCTGGAGAAGGATAAAAAGTACAGAAAACTTTTATGTATTATACTTAGTATTCGAATAGGAAAGATTTTGGATAAAGTTAATGAATCCGTTTAAATTTCTACTTAATCTTGATGAATCTTCCACTTAATATAAACAGGAGTTGAGAGATCAAGAGACAATCATGATAAATATCTTTCGCTGTGAAGAAATTATATTATACTGTACAAGGGATTTCTGTTGATTAATGTGCTGTACCACACACACAGACACACACAAGGCTTAGCTAACAATAATATACCTCCCTTAATGTCGTCTACAAGTGATGTACCTCAAGTATCCAAAGATAATTCAAATCTCTCTTGATACGAGTCATATTTATGGTTAATATTTGAGACTTGCATCATATATATGGAAAAAACCATTTCCCACACAGCCTGCCAAGAATATATGAATAACTGCCTTTCTTCCTTGTTTTATATTTTCAAAGGCAGATCCAACATCCACGTATACTGATGACCTTATTGTTTAGCCTTCAGTTGCTAACCCTGCAGTTCCTAATGATAACAGGAGCTATATAATAAATTCATAACAACAATTAATGTATGGCATATTCACATTACCAAGAGAATAATACAAGTAGTTCTTTCACAGCAGTTCTGGACTAGATCAGCCTTCAGTACTCCCTCTTGACTGGGACGTCAATGATGAGGATTACTGTACTCTCCCATGCTCTCCAAAAGGGAGGAGCATTTTGTCACAGCTTTACAGTCCATTTGTTTACAGTATTCGTAAGTTTATCCATCTCATAATTCGTGTCCATTCTATAATTTCTGAACCAGTGTAGGGTTTTTAATGATCGTTTACATCAGGGTTAATGTCAACAAACTACTCCCAGGTCCAAATTATGAAGATAAAAAATCATAAGATGGGGTCAAAGTCAAACAGGGGCACAGTATTTTCATGTTAGGAAGCAGCAGTCATCAGTCTTAACAATTTTCTTGTCCAAGTACTATAAGTCAAACTACCCCTTAACACACATACAGTTCAATGAGGATGGTACACCAAATACAGTAGTATCTTTACTACTTTGTGTTAGACAAAAAAGACAACAGACGAAGAATTTTGATAACCCTACCGAGACAAGAGGAGTCACAGTGTTCATTTTGAAATTTATCAGCTTGTGTGTATAGAGACCCACCTTTTGATTATAAATGAGAGACTTTCGGTTTATAAATAAAAAGATTTCTTCATATCTTCCCAGATGACAAACCCAATCCAGAGATGACTGAAAGCTTTGAATTAAATTATTGTTTCCACCAATCCATCAACACATACAACACATGCAAACCATAACAGTGTAAGTACAAGTACTGTATAATTTATACAGAGTATGCAAGTTAAAAGAGCTATAATAATGATAATATAAATATAAATAATAATACAAATATTCCTCTATTTACAAAAGGGATACATTCCCAAAATAGCTGATGGGTACAGTACCAAAATCTCATTAAATTCAGGGGGAAAACTAGCGATGTGTTCCGGACAATCTTCTATCCTAACGATATGCAAAATTTCACTTAGAATAATACAATATTGTAATAAGGATAGAGTGATATAAAGCACAGAAATAATAAAACAATAATTTAGTTAGGAAAAACAATAACGGACCAAAACATGGTGACAAACGTGCACATTGACTGAAGTAGAGACGTGAGGCGATGTGATGTTGCAATTCCTCCATACAGTACTATACTGGGCTTTTACATTTCACTGCCTTTACCATTACGTACTCATTCTTGATGTACACTCGAGGGTATAACAGTAGTTTCACCACTTTGTTTAATCTTATCTGCATCACTTACAAAACAGACTGACTCTTCTCTTTACTGTAATAACTACTGAAGATGATCTCCTTTTGGTACTTACTGTATAATGGAGAGAATGAGCATAAACAATAATCAATGAAACAGGTGATGTTATACTGCTGTACTAATGGATCAATTATGACCCAAAAACTGAATATCATAAATAAGAAAATTGCTTGTGTATATAAAAAAAGCAATCCACAATTTATCCCTTTCATTAACGTGAAATTTCAGATACCGAAGTTCGTAAATAGAGGAATACGTACCATTAATAATAACATGATTTATAATACAGGGAAAACACTTCAACAGTTGATGTACAAATTCAACATATACAGTACAGTATATATATGAAACTTATACATGTTCAAACCTCAATTTTGATACAAAACAAAGAATTAGAGTATACAAAATGATAACTGTAACTAGGCATTACCAAACACGATACAGTATAGGAGGGAAGTGCTACCATATGGCCTTGAGTGCAACATCATTACCTCTGCAGGAGTATAAAGCAAACTGACAAGTACATAGAGTACAGTACATTATACAGACCTCAGTGTTAGATGTGAGGTGTATATTCTGACAAATGGGAGTTAAATATGAATACTGTACAGTAGGTGGAAATGTACTACTGTACTGTTACACTGATTATATATTTTCAAGTGAAGATGAAAGATATTCTGCACTATTCATCTCTGGCTTACATATATAATTTTATGAGACTCAGCTTTTTATACAGGTATGTACTAAATTTACAACTCCCCCCCTCTAAAAAAAAGAACAAGAATAATTCCTCTTAAACATAACTAGCGTGGACTAGGACAGCAAATATGATGTGAAGTAATTTGAGTAAGAACTAGTCTTCTTCATACTACTGTAAATATAAGTCTTACATGTGAATAACCACTTGGAAGAACACATGTACAAAAACAACAACTGATGCAGTAGGTAAAATGCTTCCATCATTCTGCGTTCTTTTTTCACTAGATTACTTGAAAAATAATTAAATATGTACCGTAGAAGCCAATTTCAAGTGATAATTAATTAAATAAGCCACAGTACATCTGCTTCAGAAGAGATAATTAATATATGTTTGTTTACGTTCGACTGGGCACATGCTAATCCCTCGGAGGCTGGACGAGTAGGTGCTACATTTCCCGTCCATTTGTTCCATCCAGAAAATATTCACCAAAGTCTGTATATCCAAATCATATTTTTGCTCATCATACACGACCACACAATAGTTGTAATCAAGACCTGTATAAGAGTAACACAAAAGAGTATTGTATATAATAACTAAAAAGAGTATTTTAGACACCATGTCTCCAGTGAACCAAACTTTGCATGCAAGCTACGTCGTCACTGTCCCGCTGAGGTAAATCGGCATTACCATAACGTATAACCATTACTCGGATACATTATAAATATATTCTATTTGACTCTGGCCTGTGCAAAAGTAGTAACAATTGGTAAACTTAACACATTTTTACAGACTAACATTTTGGAACGATCTGAATATTATCTCAACAGGCAAGAGATGCTTGTTTTTAGCAGTTTTTCTGGCAACTGTTGTGGCATTTATTGCATCATATCATAAATGCTGAGGAAGATTCACCATTATTTCTATTATAAACCATGTCTTTTATAACTCTGACTTCTGACAAAGGATAGTTTGCCTGAGATAACATAACTAATTGCTAAGAAGTGATACGGTACGACTTCCACCTTGATATAAATAAAGTCAAGCTAGGGAATATTTATCTTTGCTATGTAGAAAATTGTATAAAACTCTTTGTAAATTTTCTTGTGCAATATATTCGGTCCCTAACATTTCTTACCCATTTAAATTGAATATAAGACGTACCTACATTAGGAATTTATAGACCAACTCCTAAAAAATATCTACTCAGACATAGGAATATTATTTGACTGGCTATTTGGCACTTCCCATGTACTGTAGAGTTACCGACTGACTTCTCTAGTCAGTCAGGACTCTTGCTGTCAAAAATCTCATTAAAATACAGAGCAAGTTGACATTGTTTCTAAGTCATATATAATTTCTTCTTAAAAATACAATGAAGGACATATTGAGATGCAGATCATAACTGTGTAAGACAAAGTACCAGTACTCCAACAAGATTTTTTCCTGCCTTATGTTAGCCACCTATCTGCTCTGATATACACATTCTTAACACACACAACTAAAGCAACTTCAGCCTTACAATCAGACCATCTTATTCAATATTGGAATATAGTTGGAGAAAAAAATCGGTAAGCAATATCCTTCTTTTTTTTTAAATAAGATTGGACTGGTGCATGTAGTGACTATTATGACCAAAATCCTGTCTTCCTCACACTAAAGGTAAAGTATGAGTGTTGAGAATTAGTGAAGAGGCAAGTTAGATCTGTTTAACTCAAATTATATGTGTGTTGGGGATAGTCTATTAGTAGGTAGTTTTTTCTTCCATTGTAGAAAATGTACAAAACCAATGTGTATTTTGATATGGGCAGATATAGATTTGATTTTCAGTTGCATTCAGACTTAATATTGTTACTGAGTGAATGTGGTTATCTGAAAATGATATATGAAAAATTTACATTATGTCATGAAAATACATACATACATACAGACAGACAACCTCAGAACAAGACTTATTAAGACAGCTGTGAAGTGTCGTGGGACTTATGCACCAGTTTATTACCTATCATTACAAAAGATATTCTTAAGACATGAACTTGTTGAGTAATACTTACAATTTATCATCTGCAAGTTCAGGTAATGGAGACTCTATCCTAATAACAGCCATGACGTACTCCCACCTTGTGGCAATGAAATATCACAATGGTGGGAAGCAATGCAAGCTAGCAGACTGGTGCTATGGGGGAGTGATGAGGGAAACACTTCCAATGTGCCTGTTGAAGCTGCACACGAAGATGCACCACTGCTTCTCGCTCCTCCTGTATACGCCGTGTGAGGGCAAAGTTTTCCTCCTGAGCAGATAACACAGTGAAAATTATTAAAAGCAGTACTGCACAACTCTTTTAAAAGGATATCTTTCTACCTAGTGTTATGAATTAAATAACTAGTGTTATGTCAAATTATAAAAACACAATTTTATACAATATTGAACTGTACTGTATTCACTACAGGAAAACAACTACAGTACCTGAAGGGAAGCATTGATCTTGGTGACGGAAGACAGTTGACTCTGCATCTCTTCCTCGGTGTCGCTCTCCCCGTCACTCTCACTACCCTCACTCTCACTGCTGTCGTACGAGTAGGTCCTGGCGGGTATTACAAAAAAATATAAATTAGGATGAACGAACACACAAATATAAGCACGTACACATACTAAAACCCCTTCACAAAGCTGATGGCAACAGTTACCACAGACTTGAACATTCCTCTATATATTCTAAGTATCCACACTCCAGATACAAAGATAGTTGTGAGATTGGTAAAAATGAATTGCTGATACGAGGTACAGTACTGACAGCCACCAAATGACCACCAATATAAAATAAATTAACTCCCGACTTATATTGTTTTACGTCCTCAAAAAGGCTTTATAGTTGAGTAAAACATTGCGGGGGATGAGAGGGGGTTGTACATATACACCAAGTTACACAAACCAATTTAGAATCGGTATAACTGAGAACAATTTACTAAAAATCTCTGACAATTGTTTCAAGATTAAGTCACACATAAAGATAACATTCAAGTGATGTAATACTTCTACATGAATAAGTTAATGTTTACCTGCTCAGTGTGGTGTATAGGAAGAGCTCCAAGTATCACTAGAGTCTTCAACTTAAAGACATGAAACTTCGAAGTGTCTCAACTGCTCAATATAAAATAATCTGTTGACCCGCACCTTGCAAAACAATGTCATGTACTTCAACTTTACCTATAACCATACAAGGTCTGCATCTCCTGTATTTCTTCCCTCAGTCTGGTGATCTCGGCCCGCTCTGCCTGCAGTTTACGCATCAGATCGTGGTTCATGGACAAGAGTTCCTCGTGGTGTGCCTGAACTATGGCCTCTTGAGTTAACAGAGCCAAGTACTCATTGTCACCTGCAAGCACCACCAATATTTTAACCAGCTACATTTTAACATTCAACTTTTAAGTTCATATGGTAAATATATATACAATAGTGTATCTATAGCTCACACCTTGAAACTTCCATTGGTCAGAGAGTAGAAAATCTGACAAAACCTTTCAAGTCATATACACCTCAGACATGATCAAAGTATAACTGGCTATAGTTGGCAGAGTGAGACCAGCCAACACCCAAGCACACACAACATTACTTAAGATATTAATTATGTTCCTGGAGTCTTTCTTGAAATGTATTTGTCATAATGTATTTGTTTTACTCAACATAATATTGTATATATTCTGTTGTAAGTCTCAATTACATAAAGGGACTGGAAAATACAAAAGTTGAAAAAGTGAAGTTTAATGTTCTTGCTATACAGTATTTAATTATGAGCACAGTTATTCTCCTACATCTCATCTCAGTCCCCAATACCTGTGTAACAGATGGCAAGTAAATGTAGGTCAAATAATTATACATTTATTATTTTACCACTGTTTGTATATGTATGTGTGTCTGTGTGCACATGGACACCGACTATAGTGGAACAAGTCATTTACTTAGTTTTAAACCCTAATACTGTTCATGTAAGTTGTCACCAGTTTGTTTACATGAAGAAGCTGAAATATAAAGATGTGAAAAAGAAAGTTTCATCTACAAACATACTTAAAGAGACCAGTACAGTTATGTAAAAATGGAAATGCAATAAGCAATAATATTTTGAGCAACATGCAAGACTGTGAGGAGCTTGAGAATGAGTGGCAGACCATCAAGTTAGTATTCTTCTATGTGCTTTAACACCCCAGAAAACCCTAACACAAGAGACACCAAGACACCTAAATTCTTGAACACATAAATGCACCAACCTTTGGCTCTTGAATCATCCAAACTTCTGCTCTCTCTCAGGGGAACTTTATCTACAGTTAATCTTTTCATTTCTGGCCTCTGATTAAGCAATACCTGAGAGTGATCAAGTCGAGGAGCACCTGAGTGAGTGTGTTCTTCCACTACCCCACTGCCTCCCCCAACCTGGATTACAGTTATGTGTCCGTGTTGTTCTTCGTCTCTGAGATTCATTTTCGGTTCCTGAAAAGCACTTTCCGCCTCTTCCACAACTTCCACACTGCCACTGTCATCCGTAACAACTGGAACTGGGACACACTTCTCAGTAGACTGTTCTCTGTTGTCACTGTGTAAGGCCTGAGCCATCTTATTTCTTTCAGTTCGTGCCGACACCGGTTTAGGCAGAGCCGGGATCGTTGTGGGTGGCTGTGTAGGAGGAAGAGGTACCGTTGTGGTTGTTACATGAGATCCATCTTTACTACTGTCATCATTACCTTGTTTGTCATTCTCATTACCTGTACTACTTTCAGACTCTACACTCACACTCACTACCGTCACATTGTTTTCTGATCTCGATGTTTTTCTAGAGTGTCCGCTACTGTTTTCACTCTCACTACCGTGCTTGGAGTCATCAGACGCAGCTTCTTTAGAGGATATATCTTCTCTCTCCATGTCTGTGTCCTTCTGGGAATCTTCTGAGGTAGACTCTTTCTCAAATTCAACTGATAATTCACCCTTTCTTCCTTCACCATTCCTTCCCCTTTGTTTCTCCTCTTCTTCTCTTCTCTGCGCTGATCTTAGTTTTCTCTGTTGAAAATAAGAGGCTGTGAATAGGAATACATCAAAAGAAAGGAAAAATACAAAATCCTTAGTGACAGAACAATGTCTCCCAAATGCAAAAGTAAATACTGTATGTCACTTATATTTATGGACAGTCAGACCATAAATTACTTTCACCTCTTCATGTTGAACAATACTGTAAAACAAACCAGTGAAAACTTCATACCTGTACATAGTTCTCACATCTGGGTGCTTTCCTTGTAATGGCAATATGTGGAGCTACCAGGTACACTATTCCTGTCACTTTTCATAAAGCAATTTCCTTTTCTGTGTCCAGTAATCCTATGTTTCAAAATATGATTAGAATATTTTGAAAAACATGGATAAGGGAAATAACAGCGCAAACACGTTTACCAACCCTACCAAGACGACAGGTGAAGTAATGCTTTAGTAGTTTGAAATCCATCGAACTAACGAGGTAAAAATAATTCATGGTGTGACTGTACACAAGATGCACAAGTACCTTCAGAAGGGTGACTATTCTCTGAGCTTCCCACAGTCTCTCCTCTTTCTTCCTGGACACATTTCCTCGAGCTACTTGAGCGTGAAGATAACCTAAAAGTGACTCCTGCTTCATCATCTCATCTTCTATCTCCGCCACTGACCTAAGCTGGTCGACTGTTCGTTCTCCGCCGGTACTTCGGATGGGAGGGACATATCTGGCGGTGCAACAACAAATTAATCAATACAGAAGTACAGAATACACAAAGCATAAAAATAATTGGCATTGAAATATTGTAGAAAAAGTACACACTACAGTATACCTGAACTAGATAAGATTTGAGCAAATTCATGTTTAATGAAATAGGTCTTGAAGCTATAAATAAAGATAAACCAGCAACAGTTGTATGGGGTGAACAGCTACAGTGTTGGCTGATATGAGAGAAGGTTGCTGCCAAAATTTACACCTCAGTTTATAAATTGGGGTTTGGATTGAATGTATTTTTGGTTGAAATATATCTCGGCTTTTAATATGGGATCCTATGGGAAAGTGGGTCCTGTATAATGAAAATTCACCAAATAAACACCTTTTCAAGAACACAATTTGCTACTTAATTGAGACATTACTTTACATCAATTACAGTTTCAAATCCACAGAACACTAATAAGAAATAGCATGCTGGTAATTACATGTTATACAGTATATAAAAAAATGACTAAAATATTGCCTTACCTTTTGATTACTACATTACCAAAGAGATAAGGATGATTTAAGAACAGAACGTTGAGGACACGATGAGAGATCTGCATTGTTGGAGAGAGTACAATGCTGACATTTTGGTAATTCATCTTTGTATCTCTCTCCTGAGGGGAAAACAAACAAAAAACAACATAAATAACAGCACTCAAGTTAGCTGAGATAACACATGGTCAAAAATATTCTATACAGAGATATGCCTCAATTATTCTAAGCTTTATTCCTGTTTCAAATATAAGAAACTTTCTTAAGATGGTTTGTGCATCTGTCATAACTGATACAGAGATAAAATGCAAAAAGAATAATGGTCTTGGGATAATAGAAAGAGCTCAAGAGGGAGAGAGGGAGGGAACACAAGAAGCAAAGGGGTGATTTTATAGGTTGAGCTGAAGGGTTCTGTCAAGGCCGACCCACACATAGGGAGTTCCAAGGACCAAGGCATCAAAAACTCTAAGAATAAAAATATTTCTCCATCACTAAGGACTGACTGACTGACCCGTGCAATGATATGACCCATGTGTTTGAACATGTACTGAACAAGTAGTCTGTTGGCTGTGGGCAGTCTGTCAATCAGCTGTCTCATCGCCTCTGCTCGCTCTGCTGGATTAGGAATCATCGCAACGTCTTCAAAATGTGGCATCATGTCTACTGTTAGCACCGGTTCTGGTAATTCCCTGCAAAGAATATGAATAATGTAATACCTGTTACACAAGAGAACCTGTTTAATATACTGGCTATTGTTAGGACTGGTATTGTTGATTCTCTGCTCTGGATAAATTTACAAGAATGACATTGCAGGGAGCATGTATCTCGCATGACTCTATCTCTCACCTCCAAGTTTGTGTACAGTTGGTGGGCTAAACAAATCTTCTCATGGCCTTCAAAGGACCATTTATCACCTATTGGCAGGGTTGGCCAATTTAACCCAATGGTTTAAACAAAATGGTTTAAACCAAACAAAAACAATTTTGGAAGGGTGAATCTATGCCTTTCTTCTTGGTTTTAATATTTTTTTTTGTGACTTTATTATTTACAGATGGTTTTAATGATTTATAGTAGATTTGGGATCAGAAATGAAAATTTTTAGGAATTAGTGTAATGACATTTGAAATAATTAAAGATATTTAGAATATTTAAAAAGTCAATTACACTGTTCCCATAAGTTTCAAATCACCTTCATTTACACACACATACTGTATCTCATAACATATAACAAACCTCTCACCTGAGATATTGCTTTAACAGCGAGGCAACAACATGAGGTTCCTGGTCTGTGAGTCTGACGGGATCACCCGAGTTGTACTGACGGCGGAGGTGTTGAACTTTACTCTTCACTCCACTTAGTCTGTAGATACCTTCACAGTGTAGACCTGAAACAGTTTACGGTGTTGCATTTACTCCTCCAACAACACTAACCCCTTCAATATAGGGATGCCACTTTTAATGGTTTATTTGGATAACCCCAGACAATTTTATTCAGCTCACCCCGTACGTAAGGGGTTAAATTTTGTCAAAGATTATCATTTTTCACAGAAATATAGTCATCTACCAATAATGGGTTTCTTTTGTGGCAATGTTTGTGGGGTGATGTACGAGCCCTTGGGATGATGTACGAGCCCTTGGGGTGATGTACGAGCCCTTGGGGTGATGTACGAGCCCTTGGGGTGATGTACGAGCCCTTGGGGTGATGTACGAGCCCTTGGGGTGATATACGAGCCCTTGGGATGATGTACAGGCCCTTGGGATGATGTACAGGCCCTTGGGATGATGTACAGGCCCTTGGGATGATGTACAGGCCCTTTGGATGATGTACAAGCCCTTGGGATGATGTACAGGCCCTTTGGATGATGTACAAGCCCTTGGGATGATGTACAGGCCCTTTGGATGATGTACAAGCCCTTGGGGTGATGTACAAGCCCTTGGAATGATGTAAGAGCACTTAGGGAGATGTTCGAGCCAGCCCTTAGGGTGTATAAAGAGTCCTAAGCTTTCAATGTGGAGCCTTTAAATACACCAGAAGAATACAAATGAGTTTTAGAAGGACAAAATGCATGACTGTGAGACAACTGGAGTGATGGTGATGGTGGTGGAGAGGGGGATGGTGATAAGAGTCATAGTTTAAACACCAAACTCCCCACCCCCAAGTACTGTACAGTACTGAAGCAACTTGATATCACCCAGTACAGGACAGCCAGCAACACCTACCATGTTCCTCAATGTAGTCGATACACTCGCGCACGATGACAGGCAAGTGAACACCATCGTGGCTTGGGCATCTGTCTACTGCTAGGTTAAGTAGCACACCAAACACTGGCAACTCCTCTGCGGACACATAGTACACATTTAGTAATAAGAATGTTGATCTAAAACATCATTGTATCCATCAACATCAAGAACAAACATCTTCATTATCATCAACAGTAAACATCATTATCTTTATCATTGTCAAGACCAAACATCATTATCTTCATTATCATCAAAGCCAAACATCTTCATCAACATCCTTAGGACAATTTCACACACACACAGGTAACGACTCAAGATGGTTACACAGGTGGGAAGGTTTGAGACTCTGAGCTAAAGTAATCACTCAACCATCCACACACACCTTCATATATCTCCTCCAGTTTCTTCTTCTTGTCTTTTTTACTCTTTTTCTTCTCCTCCTTCTCTCTCTTTCTCTCTTCTTTTTCCTTCTCCTTCTCTTTCTTCTTGTCGCCCTTTTTGTCTTCTTTCTCTTTTCTCTTGTCACCTTTCTTTTCTTCTTTTTCTTTTTTCTTCTCTTCCCTCTTTTCTTCCTTCTCCCTCTTCCTGTCATCCCTGGCCTTATCGCTTCTTCTCTCTTCCCGGTCTCTCTCTTTCTCTCTCTCCTTCTCCTCTTTATCTTTCTCTCGTTTATGTAAGAATTTGAAGGATTTAGGCTTCTTGGGCTTTAGTGGACTCCTGTTAAAAACAAAACATTCGTGAATTAAAATATCCATCTAACTCATTTAAACGGTTAACTCCTCACGGACGGCAATTAGATAGCTGTATATAAGTGTCAAGAGGTTTAATTGCCATCCTTAACGAGAGGTTCATACCGGGTGTCTCAGAAAAATATTTACAGATTATTGTGGAGACAGAGTATGTGGTAGTAGCAAAATGTTAACAGTCAATGAGTACAAAAGACACATCCATGATCTTGTTAATTTATAGATACAGGTAAACATGTTTCACCTGAAGGTACCTCTGGGAATGTCAAGTAAGAAGTAACAACCGATAATCTCATAAATGAACCAAACGATCAAGCAGTAAAATATAAACTCAAGTACCCAACAAACTGAATTACTAACACTTATCTGGCATCATGAAGAAACCACACACAGACACAGACACACACACACATTCGACCAATCACACGCTAGAAAGACGCATCACAGTTCAGAGAGACACCCCAAGACTCACCTGGTATCTGACTGGTCCATCTCGTCGGGGGAACTATCCTCTCCTAGCGCTGCATAACCCTTGTCTTTATTTTTATCTTTCTTGTCCTTTTTCTTACTTCTTAGTAACTCCTTCTTCCCTCCCCGCTCATGGCCGCTGTCTCCGTCTGTCAGATCTCAAGCAGTTAGTTACAGGGAAAAATACATTTATTAAACAAGCTCATTCTATATAAAAGATACCACACAAAAGCCAGAACAGGTATATAATTGAAAGGAAGTGTCGTCTAGCAAAGGTCACTACAGTGTGTATACAAAGTTCTGTTATATCAAGTTGCAGCAGTGAGTAACCTTGAACAAGATGCAAAAGCTCAAAATGGTTCATCAAGCAAGATAAGAACAGTATGTGATAAGACTCTTCCGGGGACAATTGAATAAACATGCTCAGTCCATACAAGGAAAAACGAATGAAAAACAAAAGTAATTTTAATTGACTTAAGGCCCTCAGGAAAGCCAAAGCAATAAACAATGTTCATAAACAACCAAGGAAGCAAGTCAGCAGCATATCAATCACTCATAAATCAACATTACAAAGCACTAAGGCAACACAATCTTCCTGTGAACATAGCAAACCAACTGCAGGTTATTATAAACATTTCCATAAACCAGTAACTTATCATCAATAAAATGCAACAGTAAATGTACAGTACCATCTAGTGTGACCAACATAGTTCAACAGTCTCGGCTATGGATAAAGACCCACAATCATCTGGTCATCTGCGAGAGGTCTGTTACATGGACAATAGCTCTACTAACCAAACAAGCACCAAAACACACAGGTCAACTCTATTCATCTCTTTGGATAAAAAATAAAGACAGGATTCTAAAATAAGAAAACCATTTCCCTAATCGCAATGTTAGCTAGTCAGGTACAGCAACCATACACTATATACACCTGTACAGTCAATTACCTGGGGTGTACAGTATCATTAATATCTCACCTCCCAAGACAGAAATATCCACTCATCCCAAACTCTCGCTAAACTAAGGGGTCTCATATTTTCCCAAGTTCAAAAATTACTTAACCAAACTCACTACCTGTACTCGATAATGAAAGAATACTGTACACTATTTCTCCACCTGTTATACACAAACACTAAACCACAAGAAAACCGCTGACATGTATCTAATGTCAATGTTTTGGTGCTCAACGAGGAATCAACCACTGTGCTCACATCTCATATGTCTCAGAGGCTTACCAGAAACATAATAAGAAAGACTGAGACAATACAGACATAAAGCAAGCCTAGAATATTATAGAATGGAGACTCAAGTATACACAAATTAAATAAGATTGATCAAGAATGAACAATACAAGACCATAAATGTTGAAATAAAAGGGGGTGTCTAATCTTCAGGTGAAATACGTTGGGGTGTCTAATCTTCAGGGGAAATAAGTTGGGGTGTCTAATCTTCAGATGAAATAAGTTGGGGTGCCTAATCTTTCTATGAAATAAGTTCTGGGTGTCTAATCTTCAGTAGAAATAAGATGGGCTGTCTAATCTTCAGGTGACCCATCTCTTCTTTATAATATTAACATATGTCGAGTAACATAGTGTATTATACAGTTGCCTAAATATGTGTATCTTAATTAACTTCCCCTAATGGTGGAAAAAAAACATTACCATCTTTCATCATGAGTCGTTTATTTCTCAGCAGCTTTCTCTATTACGACACACACGCAGTTTATCATTGTGCCCTTTAACTTCCCCTACAGTTGTCATCACTAAACACACACACACACGTCAGTCACTCTATAATATACTCCTACAAGCCCTATTGTTATTACCCCTGCATTATACAATTTCACATTACCCATTAAGTTTTTCCTACTCTAAACACCTAACAGTGCGAGGAGCTGAAAGTAACGTAGTCTTCCCCTCCTTCACGGCAGTTGTTCTGAGGGAAGAGTTGTAACCCACTTCTGGCTGTTGTACTATGATAAACAAGTACGGTTCAGCGCCTTATTGGGCACCTTCCACCATATCAAGATTACGATAGTGTTATCTTAAGTACAGTTCTACGTAATATTTTTTACACATACTGTATGAACATATAAATGCCAACATATATACATAAACGCAACATATACACGCACGTACATAAACGCCAGAATACACACACACGTATATAAACGCCAGTACATACACACTATACAATGATGCATAAAACAAACACACACACAAGGTACAGGTATCTTACACCCACACAAACACACCTACACAACACAAGCTCTCCTCTCCTCACCTGACACTCCCACTCACTTCTTTCATCTCTTTCACTCGCTGCATTCATGACATGCTCGTCTCACATGCCTCATCTGAATGCAACCTCTATATAGAAACAAGTGGTGGTTAAGTTGCCATAAAGTAATATATGCAAATACGATCATGACACCTGTGTCTCTACACAACTGACACTTATATATGACAGTAGGAATAAGATAGTAGTAACTAACATGCACATAAGTAATACGTTTGGATACATACATGCCTCCTCTTGGACCTTATTGCTGAGGTCTGAACCACAAAACATCTTCCACAATATTGTTGTACATCTACTACACCACTAGGCCATGCACTAGCTTACGTTAACCAAACTACAGTACAACTCAGACTTAACATATATGAATAGCACCATCTATGAACCACTCGGAAATAATCCGCATTAATATCCATGATCCAGTATTAGGAAAATAAAGTGTGTCACCATGCGCGGATAATCAATGAGATCCACATTGGGACCAGAGCACCAGTGCGGGTCTCCGGTTATCGTACAACTGGCGGCGGGTTGTAGCAACACATGTGTGGAGGCTGACAGTTGCCAGTTGCCTTATATCACTGCCCCACTTCTGTACGGACTCTACGACAACAAACACTAATTTCTCTCCTTTCATTAAATACCTAATGATGGATATCTAATAACTGTATCTTCAAATTCAGAGTCAAAGACTATGACCGCAAAATAATAATGAAATAAATAAGGTTGCTTGGCGTTTCCAAACGAGTTGCCACATTTTAAATTTATATTTTTCTTACACTATTGAATTAACCAACAATAACTATATATTACACACACGATTTTTACTCAAAATAACAAATTAATTGTTACCTTACACATCTGTCATTATGTCAATAACTTTATGACATAAATTATACGCCTGGACACAAAACATTAATACTCAAGTGGCAACTGAGTGAAGGGGAGGTGTGATGCAGTCATGTTTGGTCTGACACAGGTGGGAGGTGGCCCAGCTGATGTGACACTTGTGGGAGGTGGCCCAGCTGATAGCCCAGCTGATGTGACACTTGGGAGGTGGCCCAGCTGATGTGACACTTGTGGGAGGTGGCCTGATGTGCACTTGTGGGAGGTGCCTGATGTGTCACTTGTGGGAGGTGGCCCAGCTGATGTGACACTTGTGGGTGGCCCAGCTGATGTGACACTTGTGGGAGGTGGCCCAGCTGATGTGACTGTGGCCCAGCTGATGTTGACACTTGTGGGAGTGGCTGATGTGACACCTGTGGAGTGGCCTGATGTGTCACTGTGGGAGGTGGCCCAGCTGATGTGACACTTGGGGAGGTGGCCCAGCTGATGTGACACCTGTGGGAGGTGGCCCCAGCTGATGTGTCACTTGTGGGAGGTGGCCCAGCTGATGTGACACTTATGGGAGATGTGACACTTGTGGGAGCCCAGGTGGCCCAGCTGATGTGACACTTGTGGTGGCCCAGCTGATGTGTCACTTGTGGGTGGCCCAGCTGATGTGTCACTTGTGGGAGGTGGCCCAGCTGATGTGTCACTTGTGGGAGGTGGCCCAGTTGATGTGTCACTTGTGGGAGGTGGCCCAGCTGATGTGACACTTGTGGGAAGTGGCTCAGCTGATGTGACACCTGTGGAAGGTGGCCCAGCCGATGTGACACTTATGGGAGGTGACCCAGCTGATATGTCGCTTGTGGGAGGTGGCCCAGTTGATGTGTCACTTGTGGGAACACAGGTGGCCCAGATAGTATGACACGTGTACATGACACAGAGGACTTGGCCTTGATGATGGTGGCCCTGCCGTTATGATACATTTAGGAGGTGACGAAAACAATCATGACACAGGTGGACCAAGGGTGTGTAGTGCATAATGAGGCGGTGAGCAGTGCGTAGAATAATGAATCACACAGCCAGCACGTGCAGCAGGAAGGAGAAGGACGGTGATGCCGTCAACTGAACTTCAATATTTGTCCTGATACTGTGTGTGTGTGTGTGTGTGTGTGTGTGTGTGTGTGTGTGTGTGTGTGTGTGTGTGTGTAACTGTATCTATGGGTTCAAAATTACAGTATAGTACAGTATATTTAAAGTCTCATTCACGTTTTTCAGTCTCCCACACTTCAGGCATTTCCTTAACTGATCCCCTCCCTCCTCCTCTCTCCCAGTACACTTTTCATCACCAGTCACCTCTCTCTTACATCAACATTTCTCTCACTTTTAACGTCATGCACCAACCAACCAACCACTCAAAACAATGCAGGGGGAGAGATTAGATTACCTTACTCTATTAGGAAATAACCTCACTATGATATCAATTTCACTTACTGCTGATTAACTGCCTCATTGCACTTGACGATGGTGAGGCGCTCTCTTACAAACGCACTCTAAGCTCTGACATGAATACTTATCTTGCAATGCCTCTCTCTCTCTCTCTCTCTCTCTCTCTCAGGAAGATGGCTAATGATAGGAGACCCACCTAGCCATTCTATCATTACATCTTCACTTTCCTCTTTATTCTCCTTATCCCTTCCCCTATTGTCTCCTTAATATATTCTTCCATCTTCCTCTAAGCATTGCACCTGTTACATTACTCCAAAATACTCTCGATATTGTCCTCTCATCCTGCAACCATATCAAATGTCCATACCATCTCAGTGCTCACGCCACCACTCAACACTTTACACTCCCTGCCTTCACTCCCAAACACTTTATTACTTTCTTACCTTGAATAAAGCATTTTTTTTACACTCCAAGTCTATGTTTTACTGCCAAAAGTCAAAGTATGGAGTACAGTATTACACTATATCGGAGTTCCTTCTTTGCCTCTAACCTTTCATTCCTTCTCTTTATGATACTGTACTTCCCAGGTATCCAATCACTCTCCTACCATGGACTGTTCTCTCTGTAATTTAAATTCATCATAACTTTCTACAGTAATTTAACATCAGGCAATATATTTAAAATCTCTAACTCCAAACAAAACTTAATATAAATATATTATTCCTAACATTTACCTTTGATTTCCTTTTATCACACTCTCTTTAAATTACCCTTATTGTTCGTGATAATGATATGAAGTGCCTGAGCCGGCCTTTATCATACTAAGCCATTGAACCAACCAGTCACCTGTGCCTTTGTCCTCCATGAAGAATTCCCATACAAGAGAAAACAAAATGGACGACAGTAACCTTTTGAGGTGGTAATGATGCTTGAAAGAATTTAATGCCATTTTTTCAATGCTTATTACTCGCCAATTATATGTTTCCAAGGTGACTCTTTGGTGTCTTTGTGTTATTCTGAAAGTATTTAAGTTGTTAAACCCCATAAATTTAAATTCTGAGAGAAAAGCATATTTCAGTCCAAATATTTTTAAGCCATTAGCCTTACCATTTCGGCAGTTTCAGCCCAAAATCTCAATCTCTGGGATTTTTTTTCAAAATCTCAGAGTAAGTACTCCTGAACATGTTGATTCCAAGTCTATGATCCACAAGTTGAATGTGGGGTAAATACAGTAGTGGTTGTAATGACAGAACTGTTGGGGCAGTCCACAAAAGTTGCGTGTGTGGAGGGCTACACCTAGTGCCTAAAACACATTTATATCACGAGAGCATTTTCCAGAATCTACAATGAGGCGACTGAGGCACTATTTCCTGCAAACACTAAGGTCATAATCACCATCTTCATATATTTAATTTTAAAAGACACAACACCGACGCTTGTATGTACAACCTTCACCGTGCATTTGCCTCTAATACACTACAGTACACGTCAGCTGCCGTGAAGTGTGAGCACCTTACACCAGAAACAGTATGGGAAAAACATGGACAGATAAATAAAATATATACCACAAACAAGAGGGGAAAACAGAACATGAGAAGTGAGAACGGACAGAATAATACAAGTACTACATCAGAATTAATAATAAATAACCAAAGGGAAAAAATAACTGGTTTAAGAATTAATAAAACCAATTGGAACTGTGATTATGTTACTGTATAAGAAATGAGAAGGATGAGAGGGAGAATGAACTCTTCGTCTGGGTGAGGGTTGCCTATTAATAACACAAAACACTACAGCACACATAAACACTTCCATCTTCCTTCATGTACAAACAAACAAGTGCTTTCAACAGACACAGAGCACTACTGGTAAACATAGGCAGTACTACCAATAAATGAACCTTTAAGTGCCACACATAATATAAAATCATATAATACCTAGTGTTTGAAGAGCTATTCACTTCAAACACACACCCGGTACTCAGCCACACACACCCGGTACTCAACCAAGGGCATTAGAACATACAGTATATTTCTTCAACGCAAATACAGTATGATCCAAATCTGATGACATTTGGTAAAGCTAAGGTGTAAAATAGTCTTGAGGACAGATGAATAGAAGGACAGGTGGGCAGAACAGACAGGTAGATGGAGGGACAGATAAAGCTATATATCCCCTCACTCTGCCATAGTAGTGAGGGGGAGGGAATAAAAATAAATAGATCACAAAAAATAGATTACAAATGTGATACAACAGTCGTCCAAAAATACCCCATAAAAAATTATCCTTATCTGTGAAGAGGAAAGCTTGACATCAACCATACACTACCTACAGTACAGTAATGCAATGAAGAAGCTACAGTAATAAGATCTGAATCACAAAGTTCATGTCTACAGATACAGTCACCGTCAAGAGTCCCGACCCCTCTCCTGCTGCTTCACGAACCCCAAGATTCACACCCGCGAATTTGAAGCATCCGTGGACAGAATAATGTATCAGTGTCTACTGCTTCGGTTTCAGAGGTCTGAATCTCAGGGGTTCGTCAAACAGCAGGAGAGGCAATAGGACTTTTGATCGTAACTGTACAGAATCAAGTTGTCCTGACGGAGTGAAAAAAAACATATAAGCCATCATAATTAATCCCAATCACCTTAAACAAATATAAAGACACTACAGTACAGTGGAATAATAAATAAGAGAGAGAGCGTTTGACACAAAACACACCAGAAGAACTACAACTACACCCTTGCCCCGGTAAATGTCAAGACTACATTACCTGCTCTAGATTACGAGTGACATGCAAATTAGATCATCAAGCATATCACCTCTGCAACTCAGTCTCGTGCTTACACTGTTAGGGGTAGACAAACACAGTGAGAAAAACCACATATATTGGGCAAGTCATGTCAAAAGATGCTCATAAAACACACACACAC